AGACATGTACAAATTCTGGAGCTGTGTATTTATGATTCATACATTTTACTGCATATTAAAAAGCATAGTGACTGGGATGTTTTTGGTACACAGCTAATAATTGTCTTCCTTCACAGATAAATAATATTCAGAACAAGTCACAGTATTGCAGTTGACCTGGTTTGGCTGATTCTGTTGTTTGCTTTTTTTTAATTCCTTTCAATGAAACATTTTCTAGTGCCTGGCAGTTTTCTACAGTTAATAATCAGTTATGTTATTGAGAATGAGAGTGATCTCTGTAGAGATGCTTGTAGCCTTCTTGGGCTGTTGTACTCTTACAGAATCTTCCAGAGGGGTAGTTTTAGGATTTGAGCCTTCAGTAATAACATGCAGTAGCCTAGGTCATGGCAGTTGTTACACATTACATGGTAGAGATCTCAGGTTCCAGAGTGTCCCCATTTATTTTTGGAATTTTTTCTTCTCATGAGCTAAAAGGTGTTAAAAATTATTTATGAGTAAGTCCCTTGGTGTAGATGAGGTAGGATCACTAAGTGCTATTTAATTTTGAGTAACTGGTTGTAGAAAAATGTTTACGTTTTAATCTGTAGTGGTAAATACTACAAAATGTTTAATTTGCTTTCCTGTGATTATTATGCCTCTATCACAAGTGAAATAATGGCTATTTGTGACATACTTGGAGGACAAATTTTTGCTGGTTAATTTATGCTTGGGTAGTGAAGAATCATGCTTATCTTAAGGGACCATATTCTAACCCCTTTGAAATTTTCAACATAGAAAATTATGTCATTTGCAAACACGGACAGTTTCCTTCCTTTCCCATCTATATCTTTTATATCCTTTCCTTGCCTAACTGCACAGGGTAGGACTTGCAGCATCATGTTGCATAGCAGTGCTGAGAGTAATGTCCTCGCTCCATTCCTGATTTTAGGAAGAAATTAGTTTTTTACCATTAAATACGATACTAGCTTTCAGTTTCTAGAGGTGTTCCTTATCAGGTTGAGAAAGTTTTCTCATGGTTGGCATAAAAATTTTACCATATTTGGGCAGATTTTATCAGGTTTTTAACTATGTTATTATATTTTATGGAATTCTGGTTTGATCCATAATATAGTTTATAATACCATAATGTCACTGAGGAAGAAAGCAAAATAAATCTTACATATTTGTTCCTGAAGTCAGCACATTGATTATTAACTTTGTGGAAGTTTGTGGCAGTGGTCATCTTTTACCTTGGTTCATCAGCATAATAAAAAATTCTCTTATTAAATATTAATTTTTGTGCTCTGAGAGTCTAACCACAGTGGTTTATGGACCAGCAGTAATTAATGGAAGTGGCTAAAATCCTCCTATATTAGAGCCATAAAAATGCCCCAGACTTGACTCACTCTTAGGAATGTATCTTAAGAAATTCAGTAGGATCAAAATGGGTTTATGTAGATATTCATATGACCAAAATGTCCAGTGTTAGGGGACTGGGTTTCATGAATTATGGCACATTCAGTTATTCAACAAATATTTATTATATATCTACCATATGCCAGTTATCTCTGGCCGTAGGGGTACAGCAGTGCACACAACAAACCTCTCCACCCTCATGGAGGTTACTTTCTAGTGGGGAGACAGACATAAGTAAACAAACGGTATGAGAAATGGTAATAAGTGACTTGGAGAAAAATAAAGCATAGAATCTGGGGTGGGAGTGGAGTAGGATATTCTGGGTCTCCCCAGACAACACAAAGGAATGTTAAGTATTCAAATTAAGAATACTCTTTAAACAATGTGGAAACATTTTCATGAAATATTATTGAATGAAAAACAAAGAATATAAAATAGAATGCCTGCTGTGGTTTCAAGTATACATATATATGTATATAAAATATAAAAAATGAAAAGTTGTTGATGGATGGTCTTAATATTATTTTACAGCATTATTTACTGAGCATATTATGATTTCAGTTTAAAGAAAGAACAACATGTACAATTTCCTAGGGCTACTTTGAAGTTGAATGAAAGGTTCAGATAGCACTCATGTTTGCTCTGGAAGAATATTACTTGGGAAACATCTGTGGAAGAATGTTCCATTAAGGCAGCTAAATAATTATATATTTAAAGGAGATAGAAGTTAATGTTGTTCATGGTGCTGAAAACAGTGGTTATGGATTGTTGGCCATGCATTTGGAAATGATGGCAAGTTTAACACGTGTTCATAATTTCCACATTCTGATTTGGGATGTGAATCTATTTCTTAAGATTGACTAAAATACAATTATTCTGTAACATCTTCCTACATTGAGAGACAGTAGCCACACTAGAGCAGGTGAGGATTTAATAACACGGTTAACTGTTGAACCACTGTGTTGTACGTTTGAAACCAATATAAGATTATGTGTCAATAATACTTTAATTTTTAAAAAAGAGAGAAAAGGTTGACTGAAATTAACGTATTGACATGCTTTTTTGTGAACTATCCTTGCTTCTGTATTCAAAAGGTGGTAACTGACCACACAAGATGTGATTTTGGTATCCCTTAAATACATGGTGGAAGGTTCACTAAAGATGCAGCTGACAAGTCTGTAAGCACTCCCAGATAAAGCCTTCTGATTATTCTCAGAGCTTAGACTTTGACTCAAAGTGGGCTGTTTTGTGTGCCTCCAAAAGTTTTATGGCATAGCCAAAGCTTGGTAACCTAGGACTGGCTTATTTCCTATAGTTCCAATTCAGAATTTCTAGGCACTGGGCAATCACTCTATCATCAAAGACATACTTGGTGGTGTCCTTTGTCAGACAAATGTCCTGAATATCTTGCATTCTTCTCCCTACCACATCACTTCTACTGAACTAAAATTCCAGCAGTCAAAAGGCTTTCTGAGTTTAAGCAATAGCTCAATTGTTTTTAACTCAGATTTTTCTCTTTCATTCTTTCTTCAGTTTTGTTTTTGTTTTGTTTTTTATAATCAGTGCTAAAAGTAAAAAGACTTATGTAATGAACAGGCCCCATTGGATAGCTAAACTATTCTGTTATGATGTAATCTTGTTTGAAATTTTTCAAATTGCTTGGAAAACACACTCAGAGGTGCAATAGATAGCTAGCTGGCCCTTGGACAATGAGTTAAATTTTGACTACGTGTAAGTGGGAAGAGATCTTTGTTTTGACGGATGGTCAGAGCTCTGCAGTTGTTTCAGTATAGCATAGTAGTTAAGATAACTAACCCAGAGCCAATTGGATTCCAGTCCTGTGCACCTGGTAATCTTGTACAAGTGACTTATTTCTCAGGCACCTCAGTTTTCTTGCCAGTGGCAATACGTCATAGGGTTTCTGGGAGGTTCATATAAGTTAATACATGTTACATAACACATGCTCATACATAGAAACTCACATTTCTCTTTCCTCAAAGGTGCTTTTTAGGTTGCAGAACACTCATATTATGGCCTCACTTGACCCTCGAGAGAAGTGCTGTAATCACCAATATACAGAGCAGGGACTTATTCCATTTGGATTGCTATAAAAATTACTATAGACTGGGTGGTTTATAAACAACAGAAACTTATTCCTCACAGTTCTAGAGACTGTAAGTTGGAGATCAGGGGCCAGCAGGGTTGGGTTCTGGGAAAAGCCCTCTTCCATGTTGCAAGCTGCCAGCTTCTTGCTGTGGCCCCACACGGCGGACAGCGGGCTAGGCTGCTCTCTGGGGTCTCTTTCATAAGCGCACTACTTCCATTCATGAGCAGTCCACCCTCAAGACCTAATCACCTTCCAAAGGCTCCACCTCCTTTTCAGGGGGACACAAACATTCAGTCTGTTGCAGGGACAACAACTTTCCCTACAGCCACAGGTCACATGGGTCTCAGTCCAATGTTCTGCTGCACCATTTGCCATGTTTATGCACACTGAAAGGCCCAGCTGTCTTTGTATATGCAAAATATATACACACAGTACAAAATTCATAAAATGCTAAAAGTAAACTAAAAAAATTAGGCTTTCTGCCACTTCTGTGCCCCAGGCACTCAGCTTGCCTCCCCATTGTTGACTCTTTCTCAAGGGAATAGTTAGGTATAGTAGTTTTCTGTGGCAAGTCTTCTCCAGTAGATGAATCAGATGCAACATGAAATTTTAGACTAAAAACAAAAAATGTTATATGTTTAAGGAAGACATATATAGGAGACAGAAAAGGTTTGATATATATAATGAGCTGTTTACAAAATCTTTGGAAGGGCTGGAGAAGCAGGCTCTGGGGAAGGCCTCCAGGAAACTTCTAGAACACCTCCACAAAGCTGACCATCATGGAAGCAGCTACATATGCCCTCATCAGGAAGCTGCTTCCAGAAAATCTGAGTTCAAGAGACTACTCCCAGAGCCACCACAACTGCAGCTCCCTCCCTGCACTCCCAAAGCCCGTGTTTGAACACCACTGCCTTCAGTGTAATGCTTTTGACACCCTCAAGCTGCAGACTGGACACTAGGGTTCTGCTGCCAAAAGATGCACACCACATCTTTACAACCTTCCTTGCCGGTAGAAAACATCCAAGCAGCAGGAAATGGCCTCATCTCATTTCCAACTTCCCAGTGTCACTCCCCTACATCTGATTGAAGAATTTAATGCATACCCAGAGCTTTCTTTGTGAGGGAGTCGGGTAAGTGTAGTGCCTGGCCTGCAAGCTTATGCAGAAGGTAGGCATCCTGAGAAGGCCGAGAGAGGAGGCTGAGTGCCCATCTGGCCCAGAACTTTCTATTTGTAAAGAAAAGCATATCTATAGGTACAGGCTATATGTTGTACATCTTTTGCTCTTTTACTAGTTTATTTCCTTCCCTAAGTAGCCTAACAGAAGCTGATAGTCCTTCTACGAAGTCAGCTCTCTTACTGGGATTTCTTTCAAGACTGTGTACATACTGTATCTGTGCTGTATGCGATATGTATGTGGTGTATGTAAACTTGAAGTATGAAATGTGTGTGAACTTGTACTATGGACTTCACTCTATCACGTGTTTTTCAGAATCCATCATGACTGCCATCCGGCTACGAGAATTTGTTGACCGCCGCCCATCAATGCCACCCAGGTAAGATTCTTCCAGATGCAGACCTGTCTGGAGCTGTGGCAGGGCAGACAGGCACCTGGGGATTAGCGGGCTCACCCTGCTTCTCCCTGACTGAGAGACAGCTGCTGCCAATGGCTCAGTGACTTTCTTTGGGTTTAGGGAAAGTTGTAAAAAAAAACTCCCACACTCATGGCAGAATTCAAACAAATGGGCAACTCCAAATTCCCAAGAGATTGGAAGGATATTGTTTTTTGCTGGAAGGGCTTCAGCAGGAAGTATGAAGGACCCAAGCCCAAATTTTACAGGGAACCCTTTACTCTGCTTGGGATAAAACAAACCACTCCCATGCCTTCCACAACAGGGGAATGGGGTGACTACACAGAAACTAAGGGGGGTTTCACTCTTTCTCCAAGTTTACTGATGGCCCCAGAATACCAAGTCCAGGACATGTTTTGTTGCACTAAGTTCATCTTGTTGAAAGCTACTGAATAACAATCTATAAATCCTAACCCCACCCTCAATCCACCACTGGCTCTGGGGTCTGCAGAGTTTTAGAAGCTATGAAATTGGGGTGGAAACCCTCACACACCAACTAACTTTGGGGTCAGCCTATTGCAGCCCCACTGACTCCATGGTTTTGAGCACACCTCATGTTTATTTTAGTATTTAGCTATTTTTAACAATGTTTAATCAACAAAGGTAAGTCCTTTTGCTCCCTTAAAGGACTGAAAGAGGGGTCAGGGAAGGATGCTCATTCCTAGATACTTCCAGATCACATGAGGAAGAAGCAGGGAGGAGAGATAGGGATGGGCTCCAGTAGTTACTGATTTCTGCCTCAACACAAGCCCCTGGACTTTCTGTGTGTGTCTGAGATCTGTTTGCTTATGTACCTGTGGTCTCATCTCCTGCGAAAATGGAAACAAGCCTCCCTTGGCTGCTCTACCCAGAACTCAGTGGAACCAAGTCAGGGCCAGTGGATCGGGCCTAGGCCAGCCCAAGGGGAGTCTGAGGGTCTAGGTGGAGTACTGGGGACCACAGAGTCCTAACGCTGGCTGCACTCAGTTCTCCTGTGCTCATCCATCAGAGCCACAATAAACACACAGAGCCTGAATAGACCTCTTGCCCTACCCCCAGCACCCACCTGCAGGACTCCCTGGGGAGCAGCCCTTTAGGTCCTTTGCAAGAACAGTGGGTCCAGTCCATCATGTTCCTTAATTCTGCCCCCAGGACTGTCTCCGGTGGGAATGCTTTCCCATCTCCCCATGCACTACTGGATCAGACCACCACTGCCTCTCCCCTGTTCATGACCAACTGTTGCCCTTATTTTCCTACAATCCATTCTCCAGAGTGAGCTTCATAAAATGGAAATTGGATCAAAGCCCTCCATTGCATAAAACCCATAAACACTGCATTTTGCAAAAATCCAAACTGGTCACCAGGGCCTATCAAGCCCGAAGTAAACCGCCCTGCCCATCTCCCCGGCCCTCTCTTAGCTCCAGCCCTGTTGTCTGTCTTTTGCTCCTTCAGTAGTTTTCACTTTCTGGTACCTCTGGGCTTCTGGAAGCTCCCTCTCCCTGGATGGCTCCCTCTACACCCTGCTGGTTCAGAGAGTCCATCGCCACCCTGGCTGGAGCAGGTTTTCCCCTCTGCCCACCTCTCCACATGTTCTCTATCTCACATCCTTTTCCTTCCCCCCTCCTGCACCCCCTCCCCACCTGCTTGTTCTCCATGTTTATGAGTCTATTTCTGTTTTGTTTGTTGTTTATTTGCTTTACTTTTTTTAGATTCCACATGAAAGTGAGATCATATGGTATTTGTCTTTCTCTGTCTTAATTCACTTAGCGTAATATCCTCAAGGTCCATCGTTTTGTCACAGATGGCAGAGGTGGGATTTGAGCACACTGTGCTCTTGACGGCTGCATCTGACCACATCTACTGGTTGGCTCCCCCAGGGGCAACTCTACAACCAACATCATCAGCTCCACCCAGTAGACTGCCAGGCGTGGTAGGCCTTCTAGGCACATCTGTTGAAAAAACATGAATGAATCAGGGAGAAAAAATTATTCCATCATGCATTTGTGGCTTGGCCTCCTGGTGACTGACACACCCTCAGAAGGCTGCCTTCTGGGCTCCTTTGGCTAATGCATCCTTAAATGCCCCACCTGTGGGGCTGTACTAGGAAAAACTGAATTACAAACCAGTGCAGGCACCTAATAAAATAAAACAGCACATGGTTCACAAATAGTCGTGACCACACAGAATTGTCATAGTAAGAATGACATTTGACGCAAACGTTAACTGGTGCCGCCCTGGGCCATCACGGGGGGCAGGGCTGGGCATTGTGCTGATTTGTGGAGCCAGGAGGCTCCTGAAAAAATCACTGCAGGGGCATTAAGCTCACTACACTGTGGAAGATAAAAGATGTGGAGTTTGTGTCGAACTTGAATGGATTTTTAAAACATCCACTGAAGCCACCTCTGAGCCTGAGAGACAGCTGTGGGGGGCCAGCCCATCCTTCACAGAAGGACAGTGACCCCCACACAGATGGGCATTTCCTTCTCAGTGACTCCTAAAGGATCACTCATGGAGGTGACAGTGTCACCCCCTATTACTGCCGAGGACCGAGAGGAGACACCATGGGGTGGGTGGAGTCCGGAAGGTGGTCACCTGTCCTCCTGAGCATCAGCTTGTGTCCCTGCTGTTACTTACTCCCCTGAGCCTGTCTCCTGACTGCGCTGATTTATTAGTTGCGGAGTATGGCTTTCCTCACCAGATGGAGAAATCTTAGGTAAAACGACACTGTTCACCATCACTGCATCCCTAGCACCCAGCAGAGCCTGCAGTTAGTACCTGCCGTACTGAATGGAAAGCAGCTTCCAACCAACACTGCAGAACCTGTTTTTTCTCCCATTCCTTTGGTACACGACATCTACTTCCTGTCTGCCCTAGGCAAGAGAATCAGAGTTTGTATAAAAACTGCCGGGCTCTTCTGAGAAAAGGTCATCCTGCGAACACCAGATGACTCCGGTTGCAATGTGGGGTTGGGAGAACTGGTTCACACTCTGGCATTTACTAGACAGGTGATGTTTAAATTCCACACAACCTCTCTGACTCTCAGTCTGCTCTTCTGTGGCAGGGTATTTGGCAAGGTGGCTGTGAGCCTTCCATGGGATCACCTCTGTAGAGGCTTTTTCCAGCCTGAGCCCAACACAGAGAACAGCAGGGTCACAGTGACAGTGCCTGTCTCAGGCCCTAGGTCCAGCTATTGGGGCATGAACACCCCAACCTCCCCGGTGCATGTTGAATCTGTGGCTAAGCCCAAATCCTGCTCTAGTTACAGTCACCCTCCCAGGAGACAGGTTTGCTCTTGTCTGAACTGAACATGTCACCTCAAAGAGCCAAGCTGTCAGGGCCTGTAAATAATATGTGGTGCAATCAGATGCAGCTGGACACCTGCTCCCACCCAGGAGAAGAAAAGTCTGACGCAGGAAACTTGAAAGCTAAGTCAACAGTGTGTTGGAACAGAATCCTGGGTAGCTCTTTGGCCAGGTCTGGAGAGTGGGGCACCACTTTCCTATTCATTCCTTATACATACTGCACAGTCTCTGGGAATACTAGCTGACATGCCAGGCTGGATACTGCCCCTCAGGTGGTCAAAATTCTCTTCCAAACACCTGATATTTTAACCTCTTAATTGGGAGCTTTCTCCTGCTTGAGATGAAGGCCACATGGGGGAGCTGGGAAACAGTGTTACAGCTGGAGTTGTAAACAAGTGTGCCATTTGGGCATTCCAAGACCTCCCATACTCCCTGCCTGCAGCACCCACCTGCTCGCACACTTTCCCATCCCTCTACTCCTAGGCCCAAACCGACCAAGACAGGCACCCAAGGGCCTGCGGACAGGGTGTGTTTCCGGTGTTGGGAAAGGCTCCTCCGTTCTCAACAGCTTCCATAGACTGCCTCCAAGGGGCAGCCCTTAGGTTACGCCTGTATTCAGTGGGTGTCTGTTATATGCCCGTAAGTGAGGAGCCCATGGTCACAGCATTGCCCACTGCCAACAGAGTAGGAACTGTGGGAAACCAGGGTCCTTTTGGAAGTCTGGGAGGGTTCTCAACAAGCTGCAACATGCCCTGGGCATCCTCTGAGGTAGCGTGTCAGAAACCAGATGGGCTGAGAAAGCCCTGTCTCCCACTCCCATGTGCTCTGACAGGTCATTCGTTCCCTATTATTGTGCCAATTCCTCTCTCTTCTCATTACTTAATCCCCCACTGTATTTACTATTCCAGCTCCGTCCTGTTATCCCAGCCACAGGGCAGGCCGAGACAGTCTGTGGTTTTTCTGAAACATGAGCAACCTTAGGTCCTGTTTGCACAGACAGACAGGCCTGCCCTGCACATAGCACTTGCCTTTCACACTCCTCAGACAGCGAGGACCCCAGCTCCACACACCCCCCTCTGACCCCAACTCAGTCCACAGGCTGGCTTCTAAAATTCCCCTCACCTAGAATCACTTCCCCATCTTATTTGCCTGCCCACAACCTAAACTCCTCTCCCTCCTCAGTGCCTGCATTGATGTGTACAGGACCGTATTTCAGCACACAGCACTGTGAGGACAAGGACTGCTTCTTAGCCTCGTACCTGCAGACCTGGCAGCGGGCAGGGTGTGTTCCGTGCACAAGTCATGCTGCTTCACACAAATGATGTACTGTTTTCTACTGACTCTTCCCCTTGAACTCTTACACACCTACTCAGAATCTGTGGAAGGTCCCTAAAGACACCACATATCATGCTCTCAATAAAGTCATCCTCCCACCAAAGGCCACCTTCCCATCCAAAGGCCATCTCCCGGGATGGTGGCTTCTTTCCAACACTGATGCCCGAGCCTGGTTTGGGGCATCTGCTCCAAAATGACCCTCAATCCTCCCTCCCAGCCTGTTCTCTGCCGTCTCCTGTCCATCCACATTTCCACTGCATAGTTCAGCACTTCATCACATCCCATAAATGCACAATTGCCATCCACCCAGTCTTTCTACTCCTCATCAGATTGCCCTCAAAGCTGTTTTCTACATTGCCACCGGCAAACATCTTTCTAAAATAAAAAATATATCACATCATTCATCTCCTTAAAATTCCTACAGAGATTACCTATCGTCTGCAATCAGTGGTTCTCAGCCTTTCAGAAAAGCAACCCTCCCTTTTCTGATAATAAATATTTTATAATGACCCTACTATCCTCCTGAAATAAAATCCGGAGAACAACATAATCCAGCTACACATACGTTTAAAATATCAATACAATGCTGTGACTACAGTCTAAAAGGAAAAGTAATTTATTATAAAATAGGATACATTTCAAAAGGTAAGGTCTGGGTACCACTACCCCCAGCCTCATCTCCCCCACACCCCTGTATTTCAGTCAGCCACACCTCCCTGCCCCAGGGGCACCTCCTGCATTCTCTACCCCAGTCGCTGGCATTTGTGCTTCAGAACTTCCTCACAACCCGGCCCTCCCAGGCAGGGCTAGAGTCCGTTCTCTGGGCTTATAAGCACCTAGTGCTTTGACCATCACATCCCTCTTTATTTTCAGCCCCTATATACTTAATTATCACAGTTAAAAAAAAATTTACTGTGGAAATCTGTAAACATATCAAAAGCAGAAAAAATAATATAAGTAACCTACATTTACCCATTCCCACATTTCAACAATTAACATTTGCTCCACTGGTTTTATATATCTTTTTTTCTGATATTTTGAAACTAATACCTGATGTGTCAAATATTTTCCTTATGAATCCTGACAAAATCCTGAAAAATGGATAATGAAAAACATTCCTATCAAGAAACTCCAAGGGCTTTAGCTCTGTGCAGGAGCTCAGTACAAAGACTGAACTTTTTTTTATTCTGTCCCATCTGGTATTCTTCTGTAAAGAACCAATTGTAATAATTGCTTTTTCACATCCCCTCCCTTTCTCCACTAGTCTATTCATTGCTCACCAAGGAAAGGACATCCAAGGCTACTACCCTGGGCAGCTGGCAAGAGTCCATTACGATTCTAGTGTGAAGAGATCTCCCAGGTGAGACATCTTCCTAAATCTCAATTTTCAAAAATGTCATTAGAGTTAGAATATTGAATGAAAAAAACAAGGGAGTGGAATCACAATTTGTAATAATAATAATAACAATAATAATAATTGTTACTTAATAGATAGAAAAAGTTTGGAAAGAAACACACCAAACTGTTATCAATGGCTTTTTATGAGTGGTGAGATTATTAGCACTTGTTTATTTTTTATCTTTTTCTCTATTTTCCATCTTTTCCGTAATGAAGATATATCATTTTTTATAATCATGATAATTTTATTAAATCATCAAAGAAATTTAAGAAACACCATTAAGTTTAGAGTTTCAACTTGGTCAATCAAATAATTTAACCTTTTTAAGACTTAGTTTCCTTCTAAGTAAAATTACAAATTCTGTCTAAATAGTCTCTTTCTAGAAGTGATTTAAACATCAACAACCAAAAAAATAGGCACTTTGACATTATTTTGTAATTTGGGGAGGGTGGAAACCACAGTAGTTGAAAGCAATTTGGGCAACTTATGAAATGTTTGCTCTGGGGCAATTTTTTATTTCTTCTCTGAGTATCAGTTGCCTTATCTACTCAGTAATATAACTGATAGAAAATTCTAGAACATAGTAATATTCAAAATATGATGCCTATTATTTTGAGTTCATCATCCAGTATATTTTACAAGTGTCTCTTACTCTCTTAATTGCCTTTGATATAGTCAACTCTTGATTGTCCTCCATGCAATGAGCAGGGAGCCACTCCATCTATAAAGCAGCACATAGTCATTTCATAGATAACTTAACTGGAAGTTGCTTTAGAGGTCATGCCGATCCAATTAGATGAAGAAGATGTAGTCAGAAGTACCACTGGTTGGTATAAAGACTGGGACTTGAATCTATCCCCATTTTCTGATTCCCAGTTCAAGGCTCTTTGTTCTAATTCAAATATTAAACCTTGTTAGGGCTATGTCCCTGCCAGAGGGTAGACAGGAAAGGAAACCACAGAACTACTCATGGCTAGCTCCATGGCGCATGCGTGTTCTGTGGGCCCTGACAACTCCCCAGCTCTAATGCCTGCAACCAGACGTCAGCTCTCCTGCCACAGGATGGCTCAGACAAGGAGAACCTTGGCCCTACTTGACTCTTACAAGCCTCATACCTGCCCAAGATCAGTCTTAAGGTGAAAATTTAGTGCAATGTCAATCAATGACTTTATTAAGCTTCTAGTTAAGAATAAGCAGGAAAAGCAAAAAAAAAAAAAAAGCACTCAGGAAATAACACAGTTCTTCCCACCAGTCCTAACTTCAGTTTTAGTAGTCATAGTGTTACTTGATATAGTTGCCCAGTGGCTTACCTTCCCAGATATATTCCTCCACCAATTTGATGTTTCCAGTATTAGAGTCCTTCCTTTGAGTGAAAGTCTTGTCTTCAGAAGGCCACTGGTGTATTACTTGAAAATGGAGAACATTCTGGTTCCATTGAAATACCCAGGGCAAAGGCACAGCAGACTGCCAGTCCAACAAGGGTAGACCCAGAGGCAGTCACTGGGGTCTGGTTCAGAACAGAGCTGTGACACAGAAGTGACTGGCCTGGCAGTGACGGTCACACAGAACCCAAACTCAAAAGAATGACATGTCCATGGGACATGAATGCTCTGATCAACAATGGGAGACAGGCTTTTCTTGAGAATGGAGGGCTCCTGCCTATCATTTATAGTGCTCACGTCACAAGGCCAAGTACTTATTCAGCGTGAAATAAGGTCAAGTAGAGGTGGGTGGGAATATTGGTGCTTCTCCACACCCATCCACAGCAGAGCTCCGTCCACCACTCAGCATCTCTCCCCTGTCCACATGCCCATGGACAGATGGCTCTTGCTTTTTCTGAACTTCCGACAGAGCCACTCCATTTCTGCTAACATTCTCTTTAAAGAAGGCAATTAAGTGTTTACAATTATGTAAACATAATGCATATGATCAAACAGTTTCAATCACCTCTTCTAAGTGTGATTAATCACAGTGATACAACCAAGTGAGACCACATCGTTCTACAAAATGATTGGGTTTACATGTTCCTAAATCTCACCTGACATTTAATAATTTTCACATCTATGGCAGCTCACCTCATCTATTTTATAATTTAAGATATGCATGTTTATTAGAACATTTAGGAAATATTAATAATCAAAAAATAAAAAATTGAAAATTATTTATATTGTCCTCATCCAGAGATAGATTATGGGATGGGATTTCAGTGTTTTGGAACACCTCACCATTCCCACCCCACTGTTTTATTGACATCTACTTAACAGACATTGTATCAGTTCAAGGTGTACAACGTAATTTTATAGGTATATATATGTATGTTGCAAAATGATTACCACAATAAAGTCAGTTAATATCCATCATCTCATATAGTTACAATTTTTTTCTCATGAGAACTTTTTAAGATCTACTCTCTTAGGACCTTTCAGATATACACTATAGTATTGTTAAGTATAATTTCCATGCAGTACATTACATTCCAAGAATTTATTTATCTTATAACTGGAAGTCTGTACCTTTTGACCCGCTTCACCCATTTCCCCCATCCCCCAACCCCATCTCTGGCAATTACCATTCTGTTCTCTGTTTCTGTGAATTCAAATTTTACAGATTCCACATATCAATGAAATCATACAATGTTTGCCTTTCTCTGACTTATTTCACTTATCATAATATCCTTAAGTCCATCCATGTTGTAACAAATGGTAGGATTTTTCTTTTTATGGCTGAATAGTATTCGATTGTTTATGTGTGTATACACACAATCACACACACACACACACACACACATATATATATATATAAAATCTTTATCCATTCATCTGTCAATGGACACACATGGGGTGCAGATATCTCTTCAAGACAGTAATTTCATTCCCTTCTAATAAATGCCCAGAAATATAATTGCTGGATCATATGGTAATTTTTTAATTTTTTGAGTAACCTCCATATTGTTTTCCATAGTGGCTGCACCAATTTATACTCCCACCAACAGAGTACAGGGTTCCCTTTTCTCCACAACAACACTTGTCATCTCTTGACTTTTTGATACTAGCCATTCTAACAGGTATGAGGTAACATCTCATGATGGTTTTGATTTGCATTCTCTGGTGATTAGTGATGCTGAGCTTCTTCTCATATGCCTGTTGGCCATCTGTATGTCTTATTTGGGAAAATATCTATTCAGATTCATTGCCATTTTTAAATCAGATTGGTTTTTTTGGATCTTGAGTTGTATGAGTTCTTTATATTGATATTAACTCCTTATCAAATATATGAGCAGCAAATATTTTCTCCCATTTTGTAGTTGACTTCATTTTGTTAATGGTTTCCTTTGCTGTGCAGAAGCTTTTTAGTTTGATGTAGTTTATTTTTTATTAGGTTATTTATTTATTTATTAGGTTTAGTTTATTTTTGCTTTTGTTGCCTTTGCTTTTAGAGTCAAATCCAAAAAATCATTGCCAAGACTGATATCAAGGAACTTACCCCCTATGTTTACTTCTAAAACACAGTTTCATTTTTTTGCATGTGGCTGTCCAGTTTCCCCAGAACCATTTTTTGAAGAGACTGTCCTTTGTTGTAAATTAAACAAACCATATATACATGGGTTTGTTTCTGGGCTCATTGTTCTGGTCAGTTGATTCATGTGTTTGTTTTTAAGCCAATACCATACCATGTTGTTACTATAGTTTTATAATACACTTTGAAATTAGGGAGTGTGATGCCTCCAGCTTTGTTGTTTTTCAGGTTTGCTTTAACTATTTTAGGGACAAATTTTTGTCTTATTGCTGTGAAAAAAATGCCGTTTGAACTTTGGGTGGGTTTGCATTGAATCTGTAGATTGTTCTGGGTAGTATGGACATTTTAACAATATTCTTCCAATCCAATCCATGGGCACAGAATATCTTTCCATTTATTTGTGTCTTCAATTTCTTTCATCAGTGTCTTACAGCTTTCAATGTACAGGTCTTTCACCTCCTTGGTTAAATTTATTAGCAAGCATTTTACTGTTTTGATGCAATTGCAAATGGGATTCTTAATTTCTCTTTCCAATAGTTCATTATATTAGTGCATGGAAATGGACCAGATTTTTGGATATTAATTTCATATTCTGAAACTTTATTGAATTTATTGGTTCTAATTTGTGTGTATGTGTGTGCACTCTTTAAGGTTTTCTATATGTAAGATCATGTCATCAGCAAATAGAGTTTTACGTGTTCCTTTCCTATTTGGATGCCTTTTATTTCTTTTTCTTGCTTAATTACTCTGGCTAGGACTTCCAACACTATCTTGAATAAAAGTGGTGAGAGTAAGCAATCTTGTCTTGTTCCTGATCTTAGAGAAAAAGCTTGCAGCTTTTCATCACTGAGTATGATGTTAGCTTGGGCTTGTCATATATGGTCTTTATTATGTTGAAGTACATTTCCTCTATACTCCCTTTGCTAAGAGTTTTTATCGCAAATGGGATATTGACTTTGCTCAAATGCTTCATCTATTGAGGTAATCATGTGATTTCTATCCTTCATTTTATTAATATGGTTTATCATGTTGATTGCTTTATAGATGTTGAACCATCCTTGCATCCCTGGAATAAATCCCACTTGATCATGGTATATGATCCTTTTAATGTATTATTGAATTCAGTTTGCTAATATTTTGTTGATTGAAGCCTTTTTTTGTATAATAATTTTCTTGAGATAATGCACATACTATATAATTCATTCATTTAAAGTATATTGAAACATTTGCTTAAATTTAATCATATATTGTGGACTTTTTCCAATTCAAAAATTATAATTCTACAGCATCACTTTTAAAGGTGGCAGAACACTCTAGTATATGTCTGTATCATTGTCTAAATAATTCCCTATTTTCTTTTTTACATGAAGGGTATTTCCACTCTTTTTATTATTATAAAAATACTTTGATGAACTTTCTGAGAGCTGTCTTTTAACATCCCTAATTTCTAGAGTTCCTAGGAGAAAATATATGCACATTTTGAAGGTATTAATACCTATTAACAAAATGTTCTCAAACAAGTTGTACCAGTAAATGAATGTACACTCCCACACGTGTATGGAAATATTTCAATATTACATGTCTTTTTTACTTTTTCCTTCAGCAGGTACTCATCTGAATGGAGATACAGGAAGGTTATAACTGATTTCAGGTTCATCAAACACCTATAGGCCCCACAGTGGTTAATCTGGTCAAAAGAAAGCATTTGTTACACTTCAATTAAAAAATGAAAGCATTGGTTCCTTGAGGGAACCAAACATCCCTAGAAAAATTGCAATGGAAAAGGGCTTTTTGAAGATCTGGAGTACAGGAATAGCCATGCATGAGCAGATCCAGTGAAGTCTTGATATAGGTTGCTGCTCTGCTCTGTGATGGGGAGGAGGAGAGATGCTAAGGAGAGGAACAGGGGACTGGAGTCCCTGAGTCACCTACCGACACCTTTCCCAGGTTGGCACGGAGCTATGGATTCTTGCCAATACTATCTCGGTAGACTCCTGGCCACTTCTAGGGAGTGGATTTCAACTGATGAGAAAATGGAATGCTTCTTTCTACTGGGAGTTCAAGCTGTTTCTATTTTCATTTAGACCCCTCATAGACTTGACCATTTCACCCAAGAGAAAAAGCCAGTACCAGCCTCAATTAGACCAACAAACCCTCATTCGATATATTTGCTTTCGAAGACATCCAAAGGCTGCTGAACCATGGTATGAAGAAACCACTTACCAAAGAGACTATTCTCTGCCATTTTACAAGATTGGTAAGTCAGGTCAATGGCTCTTACTGAGATCAACCTTGCTTGTTCTCAGACAAGCACCTCTCGTGGACTTTTGCCATTTCAGGGAGAGCATCCAGGACCACTCGGGTTAGGGGTGGGGTATGCGTGTGTGTCTGGGTGCAGGAGGAAGAATCTGGAGGCTGCCCCACAGGCTGCTTCCTCCCTTCCAAGCTCCCTGCATAGGACAAATGTCCTGGTAGAAGCAGGCTCCTCGCTGAGCCCCTTATCACTAGACAAATTTGTTATTGAGTAAATGTTTCCCCCATTTTATAGTAGGGGAGACCAAGTTGCAGAGACAGTTAATTAACTAGCCCCAAATCACACTGCCATAGGTTGGAGAGGCGAAGTCAGACCCCAGCCATTGCAGACACTGAATTTAGATCCAGGCCAAACTCTCAGCTTGACCTTTAAGCTATACTGTCTGTCACAGCAATTGTATTGCTGTTTAGGTAATCGTTCTCTTGAAAGTGAGTCACTTTCTTTCTACTCAGAAAAAAAAAAAGAGAAACTTAGTAGAAGGATGGTGGGGGGAGAGTAGAAGAGGGTGGGAAGGATCTGCCCTTCCTTCTTTTCCCCTCTTAGAAAAGAGCAGCGCCAATGTCAGGGCAGGGCTGGGACTCATCCTGAGGGGACGGCCACCAACCACAGCCAGGGACCACATGAGAGCAGCAAGACCTTGGGAGAGCTGAGCCAGGCATGGGTGTGGCACTGGGTGAAGTTGGGATGTTGGCCAGAGGTTGACAGGAGGAGTTTGGGATAAGCAGTTACAAGCACCGCAGAGCTGGCTCTGGGAGGTGAGAGAAGGTGGCAGCCTGAGAAGGGAGGGAGCTGAGAGCAGGAGAGGAAGCTGGGGGATGAGCTAGACCACACAGGGAAGGAGGTGCCGGGAGGAAGTGCAGGGTGGCAGGAGTCAGAGTCCCTTTCCAAAGTGAGAGTACACAGGACCCTGACAATTCCCCCACTACAAGGAGATCCTGTTAGCCAGACATGAAAGGTGTTCTCCCTGGCTTATTTTAGAAGGCAATTCCTAATTCTTTCCAAACCTGGAGAACCAGGAGAATGTTTAGCAAAGCAGTTAAGTACCTCTCCTCCATGGCAGGAGGGAAAGTCCAGGCCATGATCCCAGCAATGGGGAGCTCACAACCTAGTCACAGGAGGCAACAATGGATCTATCAGATAAAGACTCAGAACCAAGTGGAGGAGCAGGAGATGGCAGATGAGATCCCTGGGCCTAGAATGGCTGGGAAAGCCACCTGTGCCCCTGGGAAATGGAGGCGAGCCTTGATAGCGAAGATTTGCATGGGGACATGCAACCAGGGCCAGCAGAGGGGAACGGGAGTCAAGGCATGTGGAGTAGGAGAGCAGGGAGCCCTTCAGTGAGGATGTTGGCTTGAGGGGGCCAGAAGAGAGGAGGTGATGGGAAATAAAATGAAATCAACAGAGCAGGAGGGGATGCAGGAACAGAAGAGGAGCTGAAGAAGTTGGGAAGTTGAATTTGGACAATGGGTGCCATGTTAAGATCGGAGTCTAAGGGCGTGACTCAGTCAGCGTCAGAGGTAGTCTGTCAGCCTACTCAGGATGGTCTGGAGAAGGCCCCAGCTGCAGGCGAGGAGAGCAGCTAGGAAGCGAGGGCAGAAAGGCAGGGTGGGGTGGTGTGCTGCGCTGGTCCCTATTCAGGCCTCGGAGGCTGCAGGCCTGGCATGTTCTAGCTGTGGTGCTGGGCAAGACACGCAGCTTCTCTGATGCTTTCTTTGCTTTGGTAGAATGGAGATTCAAAGCCTATGTTTTAGGACAGTTGTTAGGATTTCAAATTATCTGGCACATTCCCAGAACTGTGCTGAGCAACCTGCTCATGTGTGTAGGCTCACTCACGGTAGCAGAGGGTGCCCACAATGCAGGTATCATTACTCACTCCACTCAGCAGAATAGGACATGGAGGGCAGAGATTATAAGGAACCCAGTCAGGCGAGTGGCTGGTAAGCCTCCAGTCTAGGTCACACTCCCACCCCTTGCTCTTAAACGCAACTAAGAAGGTTCCATGGAAAATGAAAGACTCCCATGGCACAGCACTGGGAGTGAGAAAGGACAGTGTTGAGAGAATGCACGGGGGAGAAAGGAAAGCTCACTGCACAGCCTCCCCCTTATGTTGCAGGATTTATTGGTGCCTCTGGTTGAAATAATACTTTGAGGCAAAAGAGGGATAAAACTGCAGTCTGTAGGCAGTTGAAAATAAGGTACAGAAAGGTGTAGGCTAGGCCACCAAGGACGAGGAAAAGGATGGAGAGTCATGAAATGGCCATGCTCCGTGCACTGAACTGCTGATTGTGTGCTATTTCCCTATTGTGGCGCAACAAATCATGCCAAATCCTGGTGACTTAAGCCACCAGTAATGATAGCTTTTCTTTCTCATGGTTTCTGTGGGTTAGGAATCTGAGAACAGCTCAGCTGTGCAGTTCTGGCTCAGGGTCCCCCTCCAGCATCTGTCAAATGCTGGCATCATCTGAAGTGAGGTGGCTGGAAAGGCTTGAGGATGCACCTGCAGGGTGGCTCACTCGCATGATAGTCAAGCATGGCTGTCACTCACATGCTGCTGGTGACGGGGCCTCAGTGCCTCTCTGGGTGAGTGTCCCCAGGGGACTGCTGAGTGCCCTGGTGGCATGGCAGTTAGCTCCCCCCAGAACAAGCAAGGTGGTGTTTGACAGAGGTTCAAACATCATGTGCCATCACTTTTGATGCATCCTTAGTCCTGAAGCAGTGCGGGAGGGGATGACACAAGGTGTGGACATCCAGGGGCAGAGACCCCTGGGGACCTCCTTGGAAGCTGGCAGCCGTAAGGGGATTCAGCTATTCACTCTGCACCTAGCACTGCGCTGTCTGTGGAGTCACAATGCCCAGGAGAGACAAGACACTTGCCTTCATGGAGCTGACATGCTGGTGGGGGATAAAGAACATAAACAAGTAAATTTTAAACAGATTATAGATTGTAATAATGCATAAAGGAAACAAGCAGGGTGATGAGTATAGCTAAAGGAGGATACTAGTGCAGGCAGGGAAAATCTCTACACAATTTTAGCTGGAAAATAGGAATGAGTCAAGAGCATTTCAGACAAAAGGAGCAGTAAGTGCAAAAGCTAAAAGCTGGCAAGGAAGGGCTTGGCATTTTGGAGGAACAGAAAGGAAGCCAGTGTAGTTTGGCGGGTGTGGACAAGAGTAGGGGGTTCAGATTCTTGGATTCCATTCTAAGAGCAATGGGAAGACTTGGAAGGATTTTGAACAGAGGAGTGACATATTGTCTTTATTTCTAAGAGATCACTTTGACTGCTGTTTTAAGAAACTGTTTGGAGAGGAACAAGGAGGACATGCAGACTAGTGAGGAAACTCTTTGATGGTTTAGACCAGAGACAACAGTGTATTGGACCAGCAGGAATGATGAAAAGGAATAAATGGATTCCAGAGACACTTTGGAGCAATCGAGCACCTTTTCATTCATTCATATGCATTCCTTCAGTAAATTTAATTCCTTCAGTAAATTTAACTACTTACACACCAGTCAGTGTGCAAGGTTTTAGCAATACCAATGTGCAGTGAAAATAAGACACAAAGTTTCTACACTCAAGGAGCTTCAGTGGGGAACTCACATAAAATATAGGCATAAAATTTCACGTGCCATAAATACTATGAAGCAGGGTTAAGTGGTGCAATAGGTGCATATAATAGGTCATGGACGGTTTCTGATGAAACGAGGAGCTGAAAGGTAAGCTAAAGATTCACTAAGCAAGGAGTGTGCAAAGGCCCTGTGGTAGGAACAGAAGATGTCTGAAGAACTATGTAAGAGTGTTCCAGACCACAGAAATCAAGAACGTTGAAGCACGATGTGGCTAGAGAGACAGCTAGATCAGAACGAGGTTAAGGGACTCTAACCTGAGATTCATTGGAAACTAATTGAAAAGTTTAAAGGAGAGTGGAGTTACCCTGATTTAAAGTTACATTAGAAAAGATGGCTCTACCTATGGAGAAGAAAAGGGGGGCAGATAAGGAGCAATGAGGCAAAGACTGAATGTAGAGAGCCAGGAAGCAACTAAAGTGGTAGGCTAGAGATTAACTCAGCTACACCACTTTCAACAATCCAGATGTCCAAGATATATCCAATACCAATTAAATCAGGATCTCCTGAGGGGATGGGGTGTCCTCGGTATCAGTAATTTTTAACACTCCCCAGACAATTCCACTGTGCAGGCCAAGTTTAGGAACCAGTGGTTTAGGCAACCAATAATGGGTGGGAGCAATGAAGAGAAGTAAATGGATTTAAGAGCTACTTTGGTGGCAATTATTTTACAAATAAGCAAGCAGGTTAGTCTGCAAGAGTCCTAACAGAGAAATGTTAGACATCTGAGCACTGATAGAGAAAATAACAGGGACTGAATCAAGTGTGAGTCTAAATCAAGAAACTGACTCCTTTAAGAAGTCTTTGGGGGAAGGCCTTTTCACAGGATAAGACAAATATTAAGTTGTTTATCAAGGTGTAGGGTTTTTTTTTTTATCTTAACCATCCATTTGACCAGTCATTGAAATCCTATTTTAAAGGCAGAGCAAATATGTAGATTAGCAATGATTTGCCTCTTATGTTCACTTCATATTTCTTATTTGGGAATTGTTGAACAGATTAAATATAGATCATGACAGATGGTGGTCATTGCTTAATAACTTCTTCCTTGGCGAAACTCTTTCTTAGCATATAGGGGCTCATTTATTTATTTAGGAAACATTTATTAACCACTGACTAGGTACAAGACACAGTAAGATACGAAGACTCTATCCTGAGAGAACTTAAGTCCGGGAGGATGAGATGGCACCTCAGATGAAAGTTGCCCTTGTATTACTCACCCTGGTGCCAAATAACTCAGAGTTCATTCTTCCAAAATAACATATATGCTTATGTAGTAGTGGGACCTATAGCCTCTCTGACCTTCAGTTTTTTCATCTGCAGAAAGGGCAAGAACAATAGCACCTACCTAACAGAATTGAGAATATCCATATAAAGAATTTAGCATTGTGCCTGTATGCAACATTAGTAAGCCTTTAAATAATGTTAGTTATTATTATTATTGATCAAGAATAAAAATGTGCTATAATTTGTTTAAAAAACCTAATACAATGGCATTGTATCTTATACTGGAATTATTTTAAAGCAGTGCATAAAGAAATAACACATAATTAATTATCCTTGAAAATCTCAATTGCTCAAAGAAATAATATTAAATGATATTAAGTCATTGAAGTTCTTGGAATACATGGTGTTCTTCAGCAAGTTGGTTAAATTTTCTCTGGGATTCTCAATTAATTCTTCATCTTATTTTTCAATGACTTTCAAAGAAGTCACCACCACAAATCCACATGAATAATTTTACTTTGCCAAATGGTGAGGAGATCCAAGAAATCATTTCACACCTCCTTTGTATAATATTCCCCACCCCTAAATCTGTATAGCATATTTCAGGCTTTGAGAGCATCTACTGTCGGTGGGCATCGATACTAAGCAGAATGGCAGTAGGAATCCCCCAAAGCTTGCTGTGCACTCTCAGAACATTTACTGTTGAATTTACCTTGTTAAAGGTATGTATAATTCAGCTCCAAACTGTAACACCAACAAGGATCACTGAGGCTGTTGAGCAGGATTCCTCACACTTCTAAACTACTTAACATATTTCCATGGAATACACTGTAATCCTCAAGGTCAGAGTTGCTATTTAACTTCCTTAATAGTCCTTGAGAGTCATACGGTTACTGACAACAGACAGGATCACACCCAATTAGATTTTTTTAATTATCAGAAATGGCATTTCTAGTCAGTTTCTAGTCATACTCCCTGGGTTAATGAAATGTTATCCACTCTCAGTATCAAGAAATGTTTCCTTCAATGCTGGTGAGGTTCTCTGGAAGGCAGGGTAGAGCAGTGAGATTAGGGACTTGGGGGCCTGACAGCCCTGGGCCAAATGTGGGCTCCTCCTCTCAGAAGTCCTGCAGACTTGGGCCAGTTCATCAACCTCTTTGAGATGGTGTATAAGTGCGCCTCTAAGGGTTACTGTGAATATTAGAGTTAATGTAAGCAAAGCAGCTAATTCAGCACACAGCCCTGTAATATACTTGTCACAGTTTATCACTGAAACTCTCTGATCATTCAGCATAGATGTAATGGTTGATGTATTTAACCCAAGTCATCCTTGAACCCTCTAGATAAGCAAAACTGGTAGTGACTGTAGACAAGAGGTTTTAAGATATGAATTTAGGGGTGGTAATAACTGCAATTTGATAAAAAGATGATACAAAGTGGCCTGTTAATAATGCAGGGATTAAAGGATTTGGGAGCCTAGAATTAGGATATCAAAATGCAAACTTATGTAATCTATTTCATTTTATTTACATTTTGGCATAACTCAATAATATACTTCTTAATCAGAAATTGAACCATAGAAATCACCTTTGGACTACATCCTTTTTTCCGTATCTTTTAAATGTATTCCTTTGTCTTAACCTCCATAAATTATTTTGCATTGTAAGCAGTTGTTGCTGAAAGGGCAGTGTATTAAAATTAAGGAATGAGTAGTCTTAAAAATCATTGATTTGTTTTAAATTTCAGATTGGGACCGGAAATTAGCCACGATTTCATCAAATCCTAGACCACTTAATTCATTGCCAGAGTTCTACTGTTGTGAAGAGAGGTGGCTTTGAAAGAAAAGCTTTTAAACTAAAATAAGCAAGGTATCTGAACAAAACATTTGGCATTCTTAGGTAACTCTTTCAGATTAAAATAGTGGTGACAGAACTCCTTTCAAGTCACTGGCCTTTTAAGTGTACATTCCTGACTACATTCCTCAAATATTACATGTTGCAAATTCCTTTCAGATTAAGTTAGTCAGATTAAGTCTCGGACAGGGAATCAAGATCCAGCCACAGGAGAACTTTTCATCTTTTCTTAATCCCACTGCCATTCTTGTTGCTGGTACTGGCAAACCAACTCATTAACACTTAGTCCGATGTTTATACGTGGGACCAGGTAAGAATATAATTGCATCTGCTCAATAACTGCATCAATGTTGGGAAAAAAAAAGAGAGAGAAGAACCTGGGGATGGAGCTGAGAAGGAAGACTACTGGTATAATGGACCATGAAGGTGCTCTGGGTGCAGAAACCAAGACTGGGCATAGGGCTGTAGTGAGATGTGAAACTGGTAAAAAGGAGGATTAATTTAAATTCTGTATTCAGAAGAGTTAACACCTCTATTCTGGCAAGAAGTCCTGACAACTAGACACCAACTGCCCAGGTAAAATGCTAGGTCTTCTCTACATAAATGAAATGATAATTTCTGGCCTTTAGGGATTCCCACCATACTAGCTGATTTCTACTCACACCCCAAAGTGAAGTATACCAGTTAACAAACTTCCCCTAAAACCACAGAATTTCATATAGCTTTGAGCCAATCAAAGATCCCCAGAAAGTAGAAAAATAATGCAACATGAAAGACAAAGGTCAAAGTAAACAGCAGATATGATCCCAGAGGAAACAGAATTCAGGGAACACAAAGAATCCAAAACAGGTTACAGAAACAGCACTGTCACTTGGCAAAGGATGTATCAAAATAATTATATCCAAAATTGTGAAAAATCAATGTTGGAAACTAAAAATGAGTGCTCAAATTAAAATCTGACAGGATTGGAAGAAAATTCTCATAAAGTCTATACAGAATCATTAGATAAATAATTTTATTTTAAGGAAGAGACACAGATTAATCAAGAGGCCCATCATCTGACTAATAAGTATTCTCAAGACAGAACAGAGAAAATTAATATAAATTATCAAGGAAACATTTTCACAGAGCTTAAGACCAGAAGCCTCCCAAATGAAAGGCTTATGCTATTTTTGCCTAGCACATGAAAATTAAAATGGAAAAATAGAAAAAAGAATGAAATTTTTGTTTCACTGATTTTTGTTTTTCTCTTCTCAATTTTCTTTATCTCCACTCTAATTTTATCATTTCCTTCCTTCTACTATCTTTGGTTTTAGTGTGCTTTCTTTTTCTAGTTCTTTAAGGTATAGAGTTAGATTGTTGATTTAGGATCTTTCTCTTTTTACTGCTATAAATTTCCTGTGGAGCACTGCCTTTGCTGCATCTGGTAAGTTTGGTATGTTGTGCTCTGTTTTCATTCATTTCTAAATATTTCCTCATTTCCCTTGTCTTTGGTTCATTGTTAAAAGTGTTTTCAAATTTCCATATATTTGTGAATTTTCCAGTTTTCCTTCTGTTATTGATTTCTAGCATCATGCACTGTGATCAAAAAAGGTAGTTTGTAGGATTTCAGTATTTTTAAATCTGAGACTTGTTTCATGACCTAACACAGTCTCTCCTGGAGAATGTTCTGTGAGCACTTGAGATAAATGTGTATCCTGTTATATTTGGGTAGAGTGCTCTATTAATGTCTGTTAGGTCTAGTTGGTTTATAGTATTGTGCAGGTCCTCTATTTCATCACTGATCTTCTAAATGTTCTATGAATTATTGAAAGTGGGTATTTAAGTCCCCAACTATTATTACAGAACTACTTCCCTCTTCAAACCTGTCAATATTTGCTTTGTGTATTTGGAGGCTCTGCTGTTTGTTGAGTATATATTTATAATTGTTACATCTTCTTGATGCATTGACCTTTTTATTGATATAATGTCCTTTGTCTCATTTATTTAGTTTACTTTTTGTGATATTAGATTATCTTTTCCATTCTTTCACTTTCTACCTACTGTGTCTTTGGATCTAGAGTCACTTGTAGACAAAATACAGTTGGATCACATTTTTTTAAAAATCCATTCTGCCAATCTTTGACTTTTGATTGAAAAGTTTAATCCATTTACATTTAAAGTGATTACTGATAAGGAAGGACTTGCCATTTTGTTTTCTGCCCAGTAATTCTTTTCATCCTTTACTGCCTTGTTTTGTATTTAGTTGATTTTTTCTAGTGTTGTTTTGATTCCCCTATCATTTCCTTGTGCTTTAATTTTAGATATTTTCTTAGCAGTTACCATGGAGATTAGTTAACACCCCAAATTTATAACAATCTAATCGCCACCAATTTAGCATCAATGGCATATAAAAACTGCTTCATCCCTTGTTACTGTAGTCACAAATTACATTTTTATACTATCTGCTCAATCACATACATTTACAATTTTTTAATGCATGTCTTTTTATCATGTATGAAATAAAAAGTGGAGTGACAAACCAAAAATATATTAATGCTGGCTGTTAGTAGTTACCTTTACTGGAGATCTCTATTTCTTCATTCAGCTTCAGGTTACTAAATTTCATTTTAACCTGAAGGACTCCCTTTAGCATTTCTTGTCCTATGAGCAATGAATTCTCTGCTTTATTCTAGGAATGTCTTAATTTTTCCATTTTTGAAGGACATTTTTAAAGCACATAAAGTTACTGGTTGACTGATTGTTTTATAGTGATGAATGACTTCTCATGCTGCTTTCATGACTTCCTATTTTTGTCTTTCAACAGTTTTTTTTTATGTGTCTCAATGTGAATCTCTTTTGCATTTATCCTACTTGGATTATGTTAGGAATTTTGGATTTGTAGATTTATGTTTTTCATCAAAATTTGAAAGTTTTCTACCATTATTTCTTCCTCCTTCTTTCTTCTCCTTCTGGGACTCCCATAATGCATTGATGGTCCACTTGCTGATGTCCCAGATATCCCTGAGGCTCTGTTCACTTTTATTCTTTTTTCTTTCTGATCCTCAGATTGGATAATGTCAATTGTCCTATATTCAAATTCACTGATTCTTTCTTCTGTCTGCTCAAACCTTTTGTTGAACTCTAGTTTTTCACTTTAATTATTGTATTTTCATTGTTTCCTTTTTAAAATTCTCAACTTATTGGGATTATGCTCATTTTGTTCACAAATCATGCATGTAGCTTTCTACAGCCTCAGTATACACACTTTCAAATAACCTCATTTCTCAAAGAAACTCTCCCCTGGACATCCTCCCTGGCTTTAGACTGTCTACTGTATTCCTCAATTGCAATCATTTGTCCCAGGTAGATGTGGGACTTTACCTGCCTTACCAGATTTTCAAGCAATGCCCATTACTTTCCACCCTACTTGAGTTACAAGTTAGAAAAAACAGAGATAAATGCCTGGAGTTAAGTCCTAAAGGCAGCCCCAGACAGGTTTAAACAGAAACACATTATTTAGATTAAGATCTGCTATGCTCCCTCTCACCAGAACCAAAGACCAGGGTGTCACAGGTTGCTGTCTGTAAGACTCCCACTGAACTGGGGAGGGAATGGGGCAGGGGCAAGTAAAAACACTACAAGACTTTCCTACTGTTTTTAATTTGCCTTTTTCTTGATTCAGCATTTGTTTGGCTACTATAAACCTGTCTAGAGTTCTGAAAAAGTTGGTTCTGATAGCTCCTGCTTAGTTTTTTGTTTCTGTGCAGGAATGGGTATTTGGAGCTGTGTATTTTGCCATTTTGGTGACATGACTCCTAACTCTAAAAATTATATGGAATGCAAAACAACAGAATAGACACAATATCTTGCTAAGAACAAGGTCAGAAGAATTACATTTACCAATTTTGAAGCATATTATAAAGCTATAAACAGTGTGGTAATGATAGAAAGTCAGAGTTGCCAAAGCAGTTCAACAGAGGAAGGAGATCATTTTTTCAAAAACTGGTGCTGGGACAGTTGAATATCCAAATGCAACAAGATATATATATGGACCCTTATCTCATACCATGCACAAAAATTAACTCAAATCACAGACCTAAATCTGAGAGTTAAAACTATAAAAATTTTTAGATTATAATTATTTTCATGACATTGGTTTAGGCAAACATTTCTTAAACATGAAACTAAAAATATAATCCATAAAAGAAAAAATTGACAACTGAGACTTTAAAATCAAAGTTTAAAACTTTCACATTTCAAAAGACACCAAGAAAATGAAATGACAAGTCACAGAAAGGGAGAAAATATTTGCAAATCATCTATCTAATGAATCACTTGTATCTAGAATAGGAAATAATCTCTTATAATTAAAAAACCTCATTCAAAAATGGGCAAAATATTTAGACACTTCACCACAGATATACAAATGGTCATAAAAATGTTGGAATATTAGAAAAATGCAAATTAAAATAAAACACTTTATATCCATTAGAATGGCTACATTGTAAGTCACACAATAACAAGTATAGGATGTAGAGAAAGAAACAGGAACCCCTATATGCTGCTGGCAAGAGTGTAAAGTAGTGCAGCCATTTTGGAAGTTTCTTTTAAAAATTAAATATAAATGTACAATGTGACCAAGAAATTCCACTCCTAGGTATCTACCTAAGAGAAATAAAAATGTGTTCACACAAAGACTTATACAAATGCTCATGGCAGCATTTTTCATAAAAGCCAAAAACTGGAAATAATCCAAATACTCATGAATAGATAAATGAAGAGAATTGTGATTATATCCACTTGATGAAATACCACTCAGCAATAAAAAGGGATGAAGTACATGACACAGCCTCAAGACATTACATGAAAAAAGCCAGATGCAAAAGACCACATATTGCATGATTTCATTTATGTCAAAGTCCAGGAAAGGCAATTCTACTGAGACAAAAAGTAGATTTGTGAGGTTGGTGGTGGGAATGGGAACCGACTGCAATGGGCACAAGGGATTTTTATAGGATGGTGGAAATGTTAAATTGGACTATAATGATGATTACACAATTCTGTAAACTGAATCATTGAATTGCATTCTTAAAACAGGTGAATTTTATGGTATATAAATTACACCTCAATGAAGTTATTTAAATAAAAACTATGTATGTATCACTGACAAAAATAAAATAAAATCAGACCAAGAAGTCTTTCAGTGAGGTATGGAAGACAGGGATTGATGCTGTGAGTTAGAAGGTAGCATCTCATTGTGTTAATTTTATTTTCCTGTCTATAGGGGAAGATGACACCTTTTCATGTTTTGGGCCATTTACATTTATTTTTCTGTGGATTGGCTGATATACATTGATTATGTTGCCCATCTTTCTATTAGCTGTCATGTTCTTACTTGTAGCAGCTCTTTGTGTATGAGGAATATGTGTTGAAATATTTTTTTCCAAGTTTGTTTTTAGAAGTTTCTTTTTAACCTTTGTTCACAGTATTTAAAAACTTAATTTGGTCAAGTCATCTGTATATTTTTCCTTAGTGTTTCCGAGTTCCTATTTTCTTATGTATTATCAGATTATGTATTTTCCTATTCTTTTTTCATTACTTAAAACTTTTATAGTTTCAATTTTTATTATATTTGAAATTCTTATTTTACATTGAGATTGTTTTGCTATAATCACTGTGTACTCTTTAATATATCTTTTTCCCAAATGAATAAAATATATTTCCCACATATGCTGCATCTACGTCTGGAATGTCTAGTCCATTTTTCTTATGTATTTGTCCATTCCCATGACAATAACAACATACTTTGATTACAATAGCTTTATAATGGTTTAATATCTGATGGAAAAACCTCTCAACATATTCCTTTTTCACAAATATCTTAGGAATGTTTGCACATTCATTTTTTCACCTAAGCTTCAAATAATTTTGTCCAGTTACAGAGAACCCCATGGCAATTCTAATTCTTCCACTGGAATATCTTTTGGTGCTATCCAGTTCCCTTTTACCAAGTTTTAATGTTAGAGTGCATCTTTTTTGTTTCAGCATTTTTCTGTGCTCTCATTCTGCCTCTTTATGCATATGCACTACATTTCAGCCTACAGACCTCTTCTGTCATACAAAACATGTTTTGGTTGTTTGGCTTATTCTTCCTCCAATTTCTTGCCAACTCATCAGCCTCACTAGTCTCTTGCACTCATATGGGTTGGTTGTTCCAACTTTCCAAATTCATTCCAGCCCCTGGGCCTTTCCCTCTGATGACTCACCCTTTTAGCCTCTTTAAATGCTATTTCTACCAAAGGCCTCCTCCAACAACCCTTTCCAAATTTACATTAGGTTCTCCTTCCTATTTTTTCCATTGTATTTTTTTTCCACCCTGTATTTTTCCATTGTAGCACACAACATCACTTATAAGTATATGTGTATTTAACGTGCTATGCTTACAATTTCAGGAAGACTACTTCCCTTACCACCACCATATACCCAATACCTAACAGAATCAGGCATTTGTAACTGTTCAATAAAGACTTTTTTAATGCAGTTACATATGATTTTATTATCTGTTATCTGAAGAACAGATACTCTCTCAAGCAATTTAATTAGCAAATAGCTCTCTTTTAAAGACAAACAAGAAGAAAGAATCACTCAAACTGGTCAAAAACTACCAAATTTCTATCAACATTAATAGGAAGGTTGTACTTTTTTGGTAATAAGAGTACTCCTGACTGGAGGAATGGGTTCTTAATATCTGCTACTGGATCATTTCAATAATGTTTCAATATTTCAATAAAGTTTAGAGCCAAGCTAAGAATATGGACTTTAAAATGCTTGATTCAAATAGAGCTTTCATCTCTGGGTAGCTAATCTAATTTGTAGTCCAAATAGGGAGATTAAAGAGTAAGGAGAAATAAAAGCCCATTCAGTTTTCATTAGGATAAACAAAAACTATTTACTATATATTAAATACAAACTATCATTTTTACATGGAAGTCATTATGGATCAGTAGTGGGCTTTTAAGATAATCTGTATTATCCATTTATTGAATCCCATAAGGCAGCTCCCATTTCAGGATTTTCTTAAGCCAAATATTAGTAAAAATATATCTAGTGAAGATAAAAGATATTTGGATCCTTTGAAAGATTCTGTTTTTCATTTCTCCCTACCTTATCCCCACATACTGCTGAGTAAAGCACCTTCTTATATTTATTAGTAATATGATTACTTCTTGTACCATAACAAAACACAACAACACAGAGCATACTACAAATATTTGGTTCTTTTTAATCAGCTATTGATGATATAATAAAATAAGTGGCACCTAATTTAAACATTTAAAATAGTTCACTGAAGGAAAAGCTACAACATAATATGTTAAACCTATTATCAAAATAACATCTGTTTTTTTTCAAAGGAAAAATAAAGGCATGATCAAAAGTATGACCAATGATTTGGGTTCATTTGGACACTTAGAGATGATTTTGTAGGCATACTGGCAGGCACAATGTTCAGAAATCAATTCACTAAATTTAGAAATGATAAAAAAAGGAAAGCTATGCATTTCAGAGTTAATATCTGAAATTAAAGAAAAATATACACCAAATATCACAATAGACCTTTTAATGACTAATTCTTTAACATTAATATTGTTGTTTTAGGCAACACATTTCCTCTTTGAACATTTAATTAAATGTTCAGTGTATTAAATAATTTACAGAGAAATAAGTTTTATGTTCTGTACAAATTAAAGGACCCCTGAATATAACCCCCTCTGCCCACCAAAGCTCAAATTTGCAATGGTCTCAGATGAAAATACACAGTTCACAATTTAAACAGAATTCATAGCATTACAAAGGTTTACAGAACCCCTCTCTGCATTTTTTTTAACAGCAAAGATTACAATGACAGACTGAACAATCAGAATGTAAAAATATTTGTGCAAAACTGCATTAAATGTTCTTACCATTTAATGAAGGTAAAACTTATGAACACACAATGAAAATAATGAAAAAAAGCTACATTGAAAAGTAACTATTTTGGATTTCAAACAACATGGATCATACTATTGCTAAACATTAAAAGAAAATGTGGCACCATGAGCAGCAGGAGAGCAAACGATTCGGCCATCACGCCAGCTGAGGACACTGCCACTGTAATGCTCCAGCTCTCTCCTCAGCAGACATCCCTTCTAAAAGACAGGGAACAACTGCAGAGCTTACAACTCACTTCAGTGTCTTTATTCTTGAAATTTGTAGCTCATAAATGAAATATTTAAGAAAGTCCTTCCTGTTGCAAGGAGTGTTTCTTATGTCACTGGAAACCTTTAAAAGAGTTGAATCATAGACTCTCTCGATTTACCTACACCAATCCATTTAACTGGAAGGGGGGAAAAAAGTGTAAGAATAGTATTAATTTATTTATAATGTTCAATCTTTGCAATTAACAGATCCCCCACTTTCCTCAATGTCACCATTTACCTTTTCTGTACGTGCCTTTTACAATCTTTTTGTTCTAGTTTGTTAGCAGCTTGTGCTAATTTCTCAACAGAATGTGCAGCTAAAATCCAGCACAGGGTAGTCTGCCTCACCATTTCCTGTTTTGATTGTATTTTAAGTCAAAATTCCCCAATTTCTAATAACTAAGATAATAAAATATTGGCCCAAACCAGCAGAGACCTATAGAACCTTTGATCGAGCTCCTAATAACTAGAAAAGATAAACACCTTTGACAAATGGATGATGCTAAGAGGACACTGAAGTGTTGCTATAACTTTTGCATCTCAAAAAAGGAAAAAAATGTCTGAAAGAGAATACTGTTTCAACTTGCATTGCCTGAGGAAAGGCTTACTCTACCAGTCTATGGGACCCTCTTATCATCTGCACCACAGGGGTTGACCTTCACCGTATTTTACAGATGTCATTGTTAAGTTCACTGCTGTTTGTACTTCAAAAAATGTTGACTAAGAGCAGTGAACAAACATACTTACTAAATTTGGCATTAAGCTGGGAGGGACTAGGCCCTCCCATATGGAAAATGAGATTCATGCTTGGGGTGAACCAAAAAATACAGTATCACAGTAAATATGTAACAGATTTTATATGGTGGATACCTCCCACCCACTTTACCTTTTGTCTCTCAAATCTACATCAGCACAAATAAAAGGACAAAAGCAATGTGTTGAAAGAGACTTGACATAATCAGTCACAGCCATAACTTGGTTATACCTAACTCCCTGGCCAGCTTACATCTCTTTTTTAATAAAGAAGTTTTATTCTTTATTCTCCTCTTATATTTTTTTCAATTTGGATTTCCTATTTTCTGTATCTATTATTTCCTAATATCTATTCAAACTCCCCCAACTGTCAAGGGTGGTTTAACCCCAAATGAAAAAAACCACAAACCATTTTCGGTGGTGGTGAAAATACAAAAGGATGTGTTATTAAGAGAAAGGAACAAGAGTGAGTGTTATAGGGTAAAAAAAGATATTAGCAAAGAATTAAGACAGGGATAAAAAGGGTGAGAGGTAGATAATCTACTGTCTTCTGGCAGGTAATCTACTGTCTTCAGGCATTTGAAGAACTACAGAAAGATAATTATATTTACTCAAAGAAATAAGATATTTTGCATCTTCCTGGGTATTTATGCAAATCATGAGCACTCTAGAAAGCAATAACGATGTTTCTTTTATCCTACCTCACAGGTAGACAGGTCCAAGTAGAAAAGTAAAGATCTATGGTCATAAAGTAATTACCTGGAATTTGAAGCTCATCTTCAATAAATCGAACATAATTCTGTGCATTAACAGGTAGTTCTTTAAATGTCCTTGCATTTGATATGTCTGTTTTCCATCCTGGGAGAGTCTTATACTGAACTTCAACTTTATTTAAGACTTCTTGATTTGCTGAAAGTTACAGAGGAAGTATAGTTTTCATGGTGTGCACCGCCTACTGCCACACAACTTTCTGATGTGTCACAGGTTCACAATCTCCTATCAAAATCCTTGAAGCCAGATGCATTTTGGAATTTAGAACTTTTCAGAGTTTAGAAAGGTAAAGTAGTGCATATACCAACCTGGGTAGTATTTTATTACCAAACATACTTCTGTAGCAATAGATGATTATTCACTTGAAGCGGGTAGATTATTAGTTCTAACCTCAGTTCAAGTCAGGTTTTGCTGTCAAATAAGTTTTGGTGACAACCTTAAAACTTTCCACGTTAGAGCTTGTTAGATCTTTACACTGTGGGCTAGGGATTGTGGATCTGCACAGTGGCAACAATCTCATAAAAAGAAGGCTTCCACTATTTACAAGAGCCAAGATATGGAAACAACCTAAGTGTCCATCAGTAGATGAATGGATAAAGGTGTGATACATATACACAATGGAATACTATTCAGCCATAAGAAGAAAACAAATCCTACCATTTGCAACAAGAATGGAGCTAGATGGTATTATGCTCAGTGAAATAAGCCAGGCAGAGAAAGACAAGTACCAAATGAATTTCTGTGCTCTCATTCTGCCTCTTTATGCATATGCACTACATTTCAGCCTACAGACCTCTTCTGTCATACAAAACATGTTTTGGTTGTTTGGCTTATTCTTCCTCCAATTTCTTGCCAACTCATCAGCCTCACTAGTCTCTTGCACTCATATGGGTTGGTTGTTCCAACTTTCCAAATTCATTCCAGCCCCTGGGCCTTTCCCTCTGATGACTCACCCTTTTAGCCTCTTTAAATGCTATTTCTACCAAAGGCCTCCTCCAACAACCCTTTCCAAATTTACATTAGGTTCTCCTTCCTATTTTTTCCATTGTATTTTTTTTCCACCCTGTATTTTTCCATTGTAGCACACAACATCACTTATAAGTATATGTGTATTTAACGTGCTATGCTTACAATTTCAGGAAGACTACTTCCCTTACCACCACCATATACCCAATACCTAACAGAATCAGGCATTTGTAACTGTTCAATAAAGACTTTTTTAATGCAGTTACATATGATTTTATTATCTGTTATCTGAAGAACAGATACTCTCTCAAGCAATTTAATTAGCAAATAGCTCTCTTTTAAAGACAAACAAGAAGAAAGAATCACTCAAACTGGTCAAAAACTACCAAATTTCTATCAACATTAATAGGAAGGTTGTACTTTTTTGGTAATAAGAGTACTCCTGACTGGAGGAATGGGTTCTTAATATCTGCTACTGGATCATTTCAATAATGTTTCAATATTTCAATAAAGTTTAGAGCCAAGCTAAGAATATGGACTTTAAAATGCTTGATTCAAATAGAGCTTTCATCTCTGGGTAGCTAATCTAATTTGTAGTCCAAATAGGGAGATTAAAGAGTAAGGAGAAATAAAAGCCCATTCAGTTTTCATTAGGATAAACAAAAACTATTTACTATATATTAAATACAAACTATCATTTTTACATGGAAGTCATTATGGATCAGTAGTGGGCTTTTAAGATAATCTGTATTATCCATTTATTGAATCCCATAAGGCAGCTCCCATTTCAGGATTTTCTTAAGCCAAATATTAGTAAAAATATATCTAGTGAAGATAAAAGATATTTGGATCCTTTGAAAGATTCTGTTTTTCATTTCTCCCTACCTTATCCCCACATACTGCTGAGTAAAGCACCTTCTTATATTTATTAGTAATATGATTACTTCTTGTACCATAACAAAACACAACAACACAGAGCATACTACAAATATTTGGTTCTTTTTAATCAGCTATTGATGATATAATAAAATAAGTGGCACCTAATTTAAACATTTAAAATAGTTCACTGAAGGAAAAGCTACAACATAATATGTTAAACCTATTATCAAAATAACATCTGTTTTTTTTCAAAGGAAAAATAAAGGCATGATCAAAAGTATGACCAATGATTTGGGTTCATTTGGACACTTAGAGATGATTTTGTAGGCATACTGGCAGGCACAATGTTCAGAAATCAATTCACTAAATTTAGAAATGATAAAAAAAGGAAAGCTATGCATTTCAGAGTTAATATCTGAAATTAAAGAAAAATATACACCAAATATCACAATAGACCTTTTAATGACTAATTCTTTAACATTAATATTGTTGTTTTAGGCAACACATTTCCTCTTTGAACATTTAATTAAATGTTCAGTGTATTAAATAATTTACAGAGAAATAAGTTTTATGTTCTGTACAAATTAAAGGACCCCTGAATATAACCCCCTCTGCCCACCAAAGCTCAAATTTGCAATGGTCTCAGATGAAAATACACAGTTCACAATTTAAACAGAATTCATAGCATTACAAAGGTTTACAGAACCCCTCTCTGCATTTTTTTTAACAGCAAAGATTACAATGACAGACTGAACAATCAGAATGTAAAAATATTTGTGCAAAACTGCATTAAATGTTCTTACCATTTAATGAAGGTAAAACTTATGAACACACAATGAAAATAATGAAAAAAAGCTACATTGAAAAGTAACTATTTTGGATTTCAAACAACATGGATCATACTATTGCTAAACATTAAAAGAAAATGTGGCACCATGAGCAGCAGGAGAGCAAACGATTCGGCCATCACGCCAGCTGAGGACACTGCCACTGTAATGCTCCAGCTCTCTCCTCAGCAGACATCCCTTCTAAAAGACAGGGAACAACTGCAGAGCTTACAACTCACTTCAGTGTCTTTATTCTTGAAATTTGTAGCTCATAAATGAAATATTTAAGAAAGTCCTTCCTGTTGCAAGGAGTGTTTCTTATGTCACTGGAAACCTTTAAAAGAGTTGAATCATAGACTCTCTCGATTTACCTACACCAATCCATTTAACTGGAAGGGGGGAAAAAAGTGTAAGAATAGTATTAATTTATTTATAATGTTCAATCTTTGCAATTAACAGATCCCCCACTTTCCTCAATGTCACCATTTACCTTTTCTGTACGTGCCTTTTACAATCTTTTTGTTCTAGTTTGTTAGCAGCTTGTGCTAATTTCTCAACAGAATGTGCAGCTAAAATCCAGCACAGGGTAGTCTGCCTCACCATTTCCTGTTTTGATTGTATTTTAAGTCAAAATTCCCCAATTTCTAATAACTAAGATAATAAAATATTGGCCCAAACCAGCAGAGACCTATAGAACCTTTGATCGAGCTCCTAATAACTAGAAAAGATAAACACCTTTGACAAATGGATGATGCTAAGAGGACACTGAAGTGTTGCTATAACTTTTGCATCTCAAAAAAGGAAAAAAATGTCTGAAAGAGAATACTGTTTCAACTTGCATTGCCTGAGGAAAGGCTTACTCTACCAGTCTATGGGACCCTCTTATCATCTGCACCACAGGGGTTGACCTTCACCGTATTTTACAGATGTCATTGTTAAGTTCACTGCTGTTTGTACTTCAAAAAATGTTGACTAAGAGCAGTGAACAAACATACTTACTAAATTTGGCATTAAGCTGGGAGGGACTAGGCCCTCCCATATGGAAAATGAGATTCATGCTTGGGGTGAACCAAAAAATACAGTATCACAGTAAATATGTAACAGATTTTATATGGTGGATACCTCCCACCCACTTTACCTTTTGTCTCTCAAATCTACATCAGCACAAATAAAAGGACAAAAGCAATGTGTTGAAAGAGACTTGACATAATCAGTCACAGCCATAACTTGGTTATACCTAACTCCCTGGCCAGCTTACATCTCTTTTTTAATAAAGAAGTTTTATTCTTTATTCTCCTCTTATATTTTTTTCAATTTGGATTTCCTATTTTCTGTATCTATTATTTCCTAATATCTATTCAAACTCCCCCAACTGTCAAGGGTGGTTTAACCCCAAATGAAAAAAACCACAAACCATTTTCGGTGGTGGTGAAAATACAAAAGGATGTGTTATTAAGAGAAAGGAACAAGAGTGAGTGTTATAGGGTAAAAAAAGATATTAGCAAAGAATTAAGACAGGGATAAAAAGGGTGAGAGGTAGATAATCTACTGTCTTCTGGCAGGTAATCTACTGTCTTCAGGCATTTGAAGAACTACAGAAAGATAATTATATTTACTCAAAGAAATAAGATATTTTGCATCTTCCTGGGTATTTATGCAAATCATGAGCACTCTAGAAAGCAATAACGATGTTTCTTTTATCCTACCTCACAGGTAGACAGGTCCAAGTAGAAAAGTAAAGATCTATGGTCATAAAGTAATTACCTGGAATTTGAAGCTCATCTTCAATAAATCGAACATAATTCTGTGCATTAACAGGTAGTTCTTTAAATGTCCTTGCATTTGATATGTCTGTTTTCCATCCTGGGAGAGTCTTATACTGAACTTCAACTTTATTTAAGACTTCTTGATTTGCTGAAAGTTACAGAGGAAGTATAGTTTTCATGGTGTGCACCGCCTACTGCCACACAACTTTCTGATGTGTCACAGGTTCACAATCTCCTATCAAAATCCTTGAAGCCAGATGCATTTTGGAATTTAGAACTTTTCAGAGTTTAGAAAGGTAAAGTAGTGCATATACCAACCTGGGTAGTATTTTATTACCAAACATACTTCTGTAGCAATAGATGATTATTCACTTGAAGCGGGTAGATTATTAGTTCTAACCTCAGTTCAAGTCAGGTTTTGCTGTCAAATAAGTTTTGGTGACAACCTTAAAACTTTCCACGTTAGAGCTTGTTAGATCTTTACACTGTGGGCTAGGGATTGTGGATCTGCACAGTGGCAACAATCTCATAAAAAGAAGGCTTCCACTATTTACAAGAGCCAAGATATGGAAACAACCTAAGTGTCCATCAGTAGATGAATGGATAAAGGTGTGATACATATACACAATGGAATACTATTCAGCCATAAGAAGAAAACAAATCCTACCATTTGCAACAAGAATGGAGCTAGATGGTATTATGCTCAGTGAAATAAGCCAGGCAGAGAAAGACAAGTACCAAATGATTTCACTCATTTGTGGAGTGTAACAAAGAAGCAAAACTGAAGGAATAAAACAGCAGCAGATTCACAGACTCCAAGAAGGGACTAGTGGTTACCAAAGGGAAGCAGGAGGGAAAGGTGGGAGGGGAGGGAAGGAGAAGGGGATTAAAGGGCATTATAATTAACAATTGCAATATAGGAACATCACGGGGAAGGCAGTACAGCACAGAGAAGACGAGTAGTGACTCTATAGCATCTTACTACACTGATGGACAGTGACTGCAATGGTGGGAGGGGACTTGATAATATGTATGAATGTTGTTAACCACAATGTTGCTCATGTGAAACCCTTGTAAGATTGTATATCAATACATTAAAAAAAAAGCATGCATAATTGCTCTCGTACAATTGTATACGTCAAGATTGAGACACTTATCTCTAGCTGTGGGCAGTACTGGCTGCTGCCAACACACAGCCCATGATCTCCCCATGGATTCCCCTCCACTGCAGGCAGATATGCCTCCCTGGAGCAGTCCATATCCAGTGATGTGTCAATGTGGGGATATAAAGGACCTCCCACTTACCTTAATTTGGGACTACTCTGATGGGCCATTGCAGCCGGAGCTCCCCCACAGGATCAGCTGAGGGCTTTTTTTTGTAATACTTTCCAGGTTAACCTCTCCTTGTCTACTCCTGCTTCTCTCACTCCCCCAGACATTACCACTCAGAGTACTTACACACAGATATGCACACAAATCTCTAAATCAAAGTCTGGTTCCCAGGGAATGCAATGTAGGACAGCTGGTGACAGGAGTGATGTGAGGAAGAAGCCCCTAAAATGGGGTCCTAGAGCTGCACCCCTGGCCAGCTGACTGGCAGTGAGGATTGTGACTGGTGTAGGCAGAAGATGGACAGTCTCTGGCCAGCTGCAGTGGTGCAGCTGTTAGCACCATCATGCCAGGTGAGTGGGGTGCCACACTGGTGGGAAGTGGGGCACCGGCAGCCTCTGAAGCCCTGGGGATAAGCCCAGCAGCACAATGGGGCAGTATGGCTCCAGATGAATGCCACTCATTAACTGGAGAAAGACAATGAAAGGCTGAGTATCTTTCATCAGTTTACAGCCAAGTGTGAAAGTCACAGGGCCTCCATAGCAGCAGCATCTGGACTTTCCTCTCCTATGGGAGAGGGCAGAAACAACTAGGGATCAGGCTTAGGGCTCCAAAGACACACCACAGAGTGCTACAGAAAGTGGAATTCTCAAATTCAGCAAATCTGCTATGATAAGGCCAGAGCTCTGTTTGGGAAAAAGTGGACCCTAAGACTCTGGGTAGGACTTCTGGGTTGATGTGCTTGAATATCCTGAATCCCTAGCCTTGCTAGTGCCAGCAGAATGGTCTACCACTGTCTGTTAAATGCCAAGGCTTCCCTTTGCTCAAGGAGGATGCAAAACCCTTTGCCTTGCAGGCAGGATGGGCCCCTCTCAGGACCTACCTTTACTCTCCCTGACCGGCAAATCATGTCCAGGGTCAAGTCACAGCATAACTCGGCCAAAGAAGCACTGGGTCTGCTAAGGGAGGAAAGGGACTAATTCTGAGGATGGCAGAACCAAGCCAGCAGTTACCAGACAAGCGAGGAGGATATATGGACCTGGATCCTGGGGGTTCTGGATCAAGGGGAATATCATGGACAAGAGAGTGTACAGGGCTGCTCTCCCATGACCCACGACACAACATACGTTCTTGGGAGCTTAGAGTGATGAACCACACTAAGCAGCTACCCCGAACTGCTGGTGGTCCGTCACACAGGAGGGAATCAAGAGATTCAGTGCGGTGCCTACTTTCAGCCACGATGGAGTGTATGGTTCCAGACTAAATCTTCAGAATAAACAACTATAAAACTGGACAAAATACAGGCCACTTTTCCAGGCAGTGGGCAACAGGCAGCACAGAGTGGCAGTGGTCTCTAAGAGGAAGAAAATTCAGAAGCAAGTCTTGAATCTACAGAATTCTCTGCCTAGGGATGAGTTCCCGACCACTGGAAGTCAGGACACTGGAGTCAGCCGAGAAAATAGTGGTCTCACTGACCTGAGAAGACAGATACCAGATTTCACGGAAGCCGAAGCAGCTAGAATTATCAAGGCCAAGCAGGCAGAGAGGAGGGAGCTACATAGGCAGCCACCCCCAAGAAATCTGTGTGAAAGTCCCATGGCTAAAGCTCAACTGTACATGCAAAGAATGGGACGATCAGAGGCTTACCAAATAGCAGCTGTCACACAGGTGAGTGAGACAAAGACTCCATAAGACAAGAAATGCTGGTAAAAAGGAGGGACAGGCCACCCTGGGAATCTGGCACTGTCAGGTTGGAGGGGTCTCTTCACACCTTGTTAACCTTCCTGGCATCCCGCTGAGATAGTGGAAAGGCTGTTTCTTAAAATTAAGAACCACCCTCTAGAGTAAAGCCTTCTACAGACCCCACCCCACCTCCCCTCTGCCTCCGGACACACACACACGTAGCCTGAGAGCAAGGTTCTGCAGAGAGCCACAGAGGAGACAGAACTTGGAGACTGACTCACACTAAGGCAAAGAGGTTTGGGAAATACCTCGAGCTTTCCACATAACTGTACTAACAAAGCTTAAAACCAAGCTATGCAAGTTCAAGATCATCATCCTATAATTCAATGGTCTCCTAAAACAGGAACCAATACTCTTCACAGAAGATAACAGACCAAATCTGTACAACATATTATCCACAAAGTCCAATTATTCAACCAAAAGTCATTAGATATAAAATCAAGGAAAAGAAGAGTCAAGAGAAACCAAACTGGAGATAGCCGGATGTTAGACTAACAGACAATGACTTTAAACATAGTTCAAAGAACGTGCAGCTATCCTCAATTCCCAAGGACTCGTCCTCATTAGCAAGTCACAAAACCTATCAGCCTACCACACTAGTCAATATTCCTTCATTTGGCATATTCCCAGTCTTATGTGACTAAACGAATTAATAGTGCTATTTTTGGAAGCTGGTAACACTTAATGAAACTTCCTAAGTAACTAAAGATATGCCTGAACAAACACATTGCCTCAGGTACGAAGTCTCCCCACAGAAGACAGGCTGGAGAAAATCATTTGTGTGCCTTAAAGGACAAGGTGGGTTAATGTATTATGAGCCTGCTTAATATGAGAAGCAGGGCTCTTTTCTCCCACAATTCTCAAGGAATGGAGGAATGCCTATACATACAGAAGTTACTTTCAAAATTGGTAAGGTGAAATTCAGGAGCAGCACAGCTAGGCTGAGAGGTACCATTTGAAACCTCGAAAGGTTTCCAATTTTGAGTTTGAGCACATGCTCTGTTAACCAAGCACCCAAATGCAGAGTATGACACAAATGCTACTACAGCAAAGTGAATATACGTGTACTGTTCACAAAGGGCATATCAAGCCTGTGGCTATACATCATAAATTACACAGAAGAACTTGATGAAATTGCTGTAATACATCTACCTAATAATACTTCTAATACATAGTGGGAAAAAAAAGAGTACCTGGAAAATATGCTATGATTTCGCCATCTAATTTATAAGCAACTCCAACTTTGATTTCCATAAACATGTCCAAAATATCCAATTTGGTAAGTGCCAACCTAATTTTGGAAGAAAAGACAATGTTTAGACAGTCAACTCTTAAGGGCCTAACATCTAACTTGATGAGGGGGTAAAGGAAAATCCATACAAAGCTAGAAGTTCAAAGCACATCTGAAGACTGGTTAGGATTATACTTTCAAGCTTGCCACACATAAAACACTACAGGACAATACACTGATGCCTTTTCTTCATAATAAACAGTGACTTAACTGATCTACCAGTAAGGTACTTTTCTAATAATTGTAACAGATGTTCACTGGGTGGTTCACAACCTCTTGCTGAGCTTTTTTATGATCTAGCCACACATTATTTGTGGGAGGGCTGCTGGGAGTAAAAAATGTGGCTATGCCCCTGTGGCTGTGGGACACAGAAGAATTCACTGCTCCACATGGATGACCATAAGATACATGCACGACCATAAGATACATGCACATTTACACATTTGCCAGCAACCCTCATTTCTTCACTCTAGTTACCATTCTGTAACCTTCACACTCAAAGAAGAGTCAGACCACATCAAGGACCTCTTCACAACACATCAAAATCTCCTAATAAACTGACTGGAAAACAGTTTTAAGGGAAAAATCTTTGGAAATTAGATAAAACACTACATTTGGTATTCTCATCAACAAATAATTTTTTATGCTTTGTTCTGTTATTAACACAGAGATGAGGACCTTTTACTGAGCACCTCCTGTGAGCCAGGCAATGTGCTATATGCTTTTGCTATATTTTTCACCAAATGTTCAATGCTCCTACGAAGTAGGTAATCCTATTATCTAGATTTGTAAAATGATGAAAAAAGTCACAGAAAGATTAACTTGTCCAAAGTCACACATAATGGCATGGATCTAAGATTTGAATCCAGAAGTCAGACATTAATAAAGCCCATGCAGTAAATTAGTTATACAGCTTCCCCTCTGTGTGTGTGTGTGTGTGTGTGTGTGTGTGTGTATATATATATATATATGTATGTATATATATATATATATATATACACTCTATGTTTGCTCTATCTACCTACCTACTCTACCTACCTACCTACCTGCCCACCTACCTCCTTCCCTCTACACTTACACACATGTAAGACTAACGTGGATGTATAGGAAGGTAACTTGAGTGCCTCTGACTGTGTACCCTTCCCCTGTATCTTTTCTTGGTCCACTTCTTCCTTGAACTACAATTTCATGCAAAATTTAAAAAGTGAAATTTTTCTATTAGGTTACTACCTTGAGTTAAAATGTAACCTGCAGTCATGAATTGTCCTATTATTTCAGAAATAAATGTTTCTAAAAATACTCACGCAGTAAATCCATTAATCATATGAGCATATTTAAGCAAAACAAGGTCCAACCAGCCACACCTTCTTTCCCTTCCAGTAGTTACACCAAACTCTCTACCCCTTGTTTGTAAAAGTTTTCCAATTTCCTAGGGAACAGAATTATAGAACTTTAGAATTAGAATACCAGTGCTGTAAATCCAGAAGACTTAAGATTATATAACAAGTCCAAATCTCTGAGATAAACACCTTTCAGAAAATAACCAAGTTGGAAATCGAATTCCATAGAAATGATGGACTTTTTGTGAGGGAGGCAATATTTGGAACAGATCACTTTTGGCTTCATTTTTTACCATTTTTAAAACCAGGGTTTTTTTGATGATGTTAGTTAACTTTTTAAAATTTAGATTAACATAAAAAATGCTGCATATTACAAACTAAGTTGTAAGAATTTATTAAAATAGACAAATTTAGCCAATTATTCCAAGAACAACTGAAGTTTGATGATTGTCCTGAAAACCACAGGGCAAACTCTCCTCTAAGCAGCTGTTGGTATCCACCCTCTGGACAAGAATTAAAGTTGAAAAATAATGCTCAGAGATCTAAGCTACAGTCATTCCATACAACCTAATGTTCCCATCTCTGATCTATCTGTTCCCGAATTTACACCTTTCTGATTAAAGTCATCATTTCCTTACCCCTTGTATTCCTCCACCATTACAATTATGTGCTTTTTAATGTTGCTCTGGTGGGTTTGAAGCCCAGCCCCATTTACCTGTGTGGCTGTGGGCAGGTTACTCCAGCTCCCCATGCCTCCGTTTTCCTATGTGTAGAATGGGGATGGGGATGCTTCCTAGCTTCCTAAGCTGCTGTGAGGAACCAGAGAGCTCCTAAATATACAGCAGGTACAGAAACACCTAGCCCGAGGTCACCACCATCCATCCAAGTGTTGGCTATGACTAGACAATGTCTCAAGATCACTTTCCTCAGATGGGGCTCCTAATGGGCTCTTAGCGAAAGGAAGCTGTTCATTTTAACTTCTTTTTTTCATCCACTTTCTTAATGCCCTTAAACCCACAGTCATTTAGCCTTGCAATTACAATTACCTTCAGGTACCCTCTAAATTCTTCCTTTTTTGTTGAGATTCTATCACTAACAATAAAGGTGTATAATAATTTTTTAATACTGCTCTGATCAGTCTTGCAAAGTAAGTGAAATGCAAAGAGAAGAATTTGCTATGGGAAAAAAAGCATGCATTTGTATTTTAAAACTTTTGAATTAGAGAAATAGGCGTACATTGTCCTGCTCAGTAGGAAAGGCACCAATACCAACTCTGGTTGTATAAGCTTTCACAACTCCATACACTTCTCCAACATTCTGAGGGGGCATCCCCAATCCAGTACAAACACCTCCAACTGTACAGTTTGAAGAGGTTACAAAAGGATAAGTTCCTAAAAACAGAAACAAATATTTTAAAAAATATACATGTATTATTTTAAAACAGAATTACTGTGAATATCCTACATTTGAGTATATACTAAGAATTTGACAGACTTGAATACAAGTATAACTGCCTCTCAAAGCCTCAGTGTTTCATTCTTTATTCTTTTTGTCTGTAATGAGATAAAAACTCTAGGGCTGTAACTGTAGTGCTCACACTGCAGAGGCTCCTTGAGTGCACGCAGTTACTCAGCTCTGTATGGTAGTACTCACCTAATGGGGGATTGCTAAACATTTTAATGCAAAAACCCTGGTGTTATCTTACTCTACAGACTTATAATCTGTGGATGTTAACACTCTCCTGCTAGTTTAAAACACATTTATCTTATTCCCTTGATACAAATATTTAAGGTACATATAACAGCAACCTGGAGTGACAACAGTATACTAAGTATCTTGTGGTATTTAGCATTTTCCTACATTTTGATCTCTATTCAAAGACTTTTCATATTTAGACTAGACTATTCACTATGCTTAGTAGACACTCTGCTTTCTTTCCAGATTGGATAGGCATATTATAGTATCAAAAATACTTATCTACTATATAGAAATACAATATGCAATACAATATAAAATTGATTTAGTTGGAATCAAAAAGGCAATGAACTGTCAGTAAGAACTGAGAACCACCAAGATTTATCCTAAGATTGTGTTTAGACAGAAAAGCCAACAAACTAATGGGCAGTGATTTAAAGATGTTAACTTTTTGAAGATGCTGTAAATCCATTCAGAATCTCATACCCAGGGACTTAATTCAACAGACTTCCATAGATCTTAGAATATGTAAGTTTAATAACATTTTTTAAAAGGCTACACAAAGATAAATATTCTTCCCTAAGATTCATCTAATCACCTAATAGTTCCAAGGAAATAAGGTCTGGAATTGAATCATGAACCAAACAATGAAAATCAGTTTATAGAATCCTAAACCCACAGACCCAAATGGTGATTTCACTTTTCTAGGACAACAAAAGTTAACACACACATTGTATGTTTTCCACAATATTCCTTTTTTTAAAAAAAAGGATTAATGTAAGATGACAAACTTCTATTGTTCCTGAATACACAAAGCTAAAAGCCTTGTTTTGAACCTCCCTGATGCTAACATCAATTATTTATATCTTAAGTACTTCAGGGCTCACTCAGGCTCCCCATAGGTCACATCTCACTCACCAAAATCAATATCTAGTAGTGCTGCATTTGCACCTTCTACCACAATTTTCTTTGGTGGTCCATGTAGGGCCTCATACAGGAAATAAACTCCATCTTTCACCATTGGTTTAATCCTTTCCATAAAACCCTATATCCAAAAGATAAAACCAATTCAACATATACAAAGAGACTTAAAATAGAACCAGCACAAGTAAAAATTACCTAGTTTATGATAGTGAAAACTGACAATGCCAAGTGGAAAGGGGCTGGTGATGGTGCTTCCCCTACTCCAATATCTGGGTTAGTGCTCATGCCAGGTCTCCAAAGCCAGGAAAGAGACACTAGTCCAAGAAAGTAGAACTACAAGGAAACTCAAAGGTGCTACATTAACCACACTGCAAATAACGATGATGACAACCTTCCGAATGGCCAAGTACTCATATTTCATAACCAACTTTCAGGAAAATAAAAGGAACTGAGCATATTACACTGTGCTTTTAATTTTATGAGGCATTTAAAAAGCTGCATTTACAATCCATGTAACTGTGAGTTTTGAAACTTGCACCACAGTCATTCTCAAACATGGTTAAGGGTCAGAATTGTCAATGCAAGAATGCAAGTATCAGTAACTGATTGCTAATGTTTGCTTGCCATTGTATTCCATTACAGTAAAGCATCTCACTAGTATTACTAGATGTATCAAATACTTTTTTACACATGAGCACTATAAAACTGTCTCAAAACATGTTTAAAGTATAATACTGTCTAATTTTAAAACTAAGAATATAATAAACAAGAGTTCTCCAAAGACTTACAGTATAACTATAATAAAACCTAATTTTAACTATGTTTAAATATTTAGCCAGACTAGTATAGAAATTCCAAGATTAACTCATGACCTACCTGAGTATATTATATCTACTGATGAAATTATGGTCCCCCCTTAGCTCTAGTTTCTCATCCCACCCATATTTCCACTTTAGTCCTTTTTCTAAATTCCTGAAATGACCATACCATTCATCATATCACTTGTTCCTTGAAGTCCTGGTTCAACATATATTATCTATTAAGAATTTTTTTTCCAGTTAATTATGTTTATTAAAATTTTGTGACAGAGTGACAGTTTTAAACCTGAAGTATAATATATATACAAAAAAGTGCACTTAGGTATACAACTCGGTGATTCTCATCAACTGATGACAACCATGAAATCACCATCCACATCAAAATATAGAACATTCTGGGCACCTGAGGTCTCTCTTGTACCTGGTAAGAATCTTCTTACCCAATTCTGTTCATTATTACTCATCTACTTTACGTTCGCATGGAACATGTGTAAAATAGAATTGAAAAGCCATACCTATACTTAATAATTATATGTAAATATTTCCAAGTTGTTAGTAAAAGTATGAAATATCTGTCACATGACAGAATGAAAAGGAAATGGCAGTCTACTGTAAGCAACAATCAATACACTGAAATCCGAAAACTTAACAGTATTCCCTGGAGGTCACTTTTTTTAGAATTTAGTGAGTGGTTAGACCTATGATCTGTAATAGGACTAGCATGGCATGTGAAGCTTATAAATGCTTACTCCATTCTGGAGCTGATGTTCTTACTTATTTATGGAAGGAATAATGATCAGGTACAGGGAAGCAGCTTGAAATTCACCAAAGACTGTGGAGGAATGGAAGGGTGGAGAGGACAGAAGACTGACCACTGACTCACTCAGGTACCACTGACACCTAATAGGTGCCAACTGTGGACCTCATTTTGGACCAGTTCCCTTATTTGTCTCACAAGAGTACAGGGCTAATGAGTCTGACCTTTTGGATAGTGTTCCTACATGGGCCAGGCAGCTATAACAGTTATCATCTCTCACTTGTCCCTCCATGGATCTGTCCTCCACACTGCTTTTTACACAATACAAATCCTGTCTTTTTTCTGCTCGGAATTATTCAATAGCTCTTCATTATCTCCAGGATAAAAGCTAAACTTCCTATCATTGCAGATAAGACCAACATAAGACCTGTGATTTGGTCCCTATTTGCCTAGCTTGATTTTCAGGTATTTGACTCCTGTTCCCACTAAGCATTTTGTTGAAGCCACATCATGTGAGTTATTCAAACATGCCATGACCTTTTAAGACCTACATGCACTTAGACTTAAAATGGACAAGCAATTCGCTTTACCAGTTCTTATCAATAATATTTTATACACACCTATACGGCACTTACTATTCCATAAACTATTTAACGTTACCTTTTCAGTCACAAAGTAATTTACATAAAGGAATTCTTATATTTTCAGTTCCTAATGAATCAAAGATCTGGATGTCAACTTGGCAAACAAATTTTTAAAAGGACATTAAAAAGGTCAGACAGCATTACCTTGAGTTTTTGTAATTCACCTTCAATGTCTATTTCCAAGGTGGGGTATATAGATTTGTATTGGTTAGCCAGAACTTTGAACCTGAGAAATATACAGATAAATCAAGACATTAGTTAGCTGTTTTAAAATATTCTGAATTAATTCGATTCAAGGTTTCCATAGATAAGTGGTTTTAATAACAAGTCAATCTCCAAAATGAAGTTACATTCTGAGAAATAAAACTTAACAGAGATTGGTCATATGAATAAGTGATTTTTTACTCAAGTTCAGTAATAACATGTTAAGATAATGTGTGTACAAACAAGAAGAATGACTGAAATCTGTAATCACAAAACTTAAATCTGAATTAATTATACTATACACTGTGAAAAACAAGAGGGTAAGTTCTACACAATGCTTTTGAGAGACAGAGCGGACACAGCAGTGTGTCTCTGATATACCAGTGGAGGTGTCCTGATAATGCGGACAAAACTGGCTAGAGATGCACACACCACACCATCGCTGCAATGCCACCTGTTATTAACAAAACTAATCCACTGCCATCACTGAGTCACCACAGAGCTTCCCAAGGATTATCAGGAAGGGGTAGTAAGGTTTTTCTACACACTGTCAATGTGGCATTTCCATTTTTCAAGGTGAGCTTAGCACACAATAGCTCACCAGGACCCAAGAGGCTCATTATGTATGAGTGGGAGGACATAATGGAGTCTCTAGACCTGAAAACCTGAGGATCAGGACACTAGGATGTGGTGACCCCACCAAAGTTCTGCCACACCCTCCCAGAAACATCTCTGTTTTTCAGCAAACCATTCCAAATTCCAATCCATAAATATAATTTTGGCTTTGTCTTGTTTAGGTACAGCTATTGCATCATTATCATGTTACTTTTCATGAAGTTAATGTGAAATTAAGGATCAATTAGTATGTAATAAAAAATAACTTTAAGATTTCAAATAAAACAGAAAGCCAACCACACCACTATTCAACTGGAATACTGACTTAACTAACTTGTAGTTACCTCTCAGAGAAGCCATCAAAGTCAGAGACAAGGTCACACATCCTGAGTCCACTCCGTGCAGCTTTGGAAGAATAAACTGGGCCAATGCCCTTTTTTGTGGTACCCAAACTTAAAAATAAATCAAAAGAAATTTTAGATTAGACAAGAAAGACACAGTTCTTGTGGTCAGCTCATTACAAAGAATAAAGTTACTAGGACTATTTTCTATTTATACTGTTTCCTGTAAGTTTATTTTCACAGTCCCACTGATTTCTCTGAAATCTGAACAGGATATTCTAATACTTCTTTTTCTTAAACCGTTGTCCTAGAATTTGAAAATTAGGGTCTGAACATGCTTAAACTGTCCCCCTCCCCACCCACCCCAACACACAAACACAGACATACTTTTTTCCTGCCTGTTCTTCTCTCTGTTTTTCTTGGATACCATCAGCTGCTTGATGAAAATCAAATACTGAAGGGAAGATAAAAAAAATTACAGTTGTTGTTGAAACAAATATAGGAAAGCAAAACATACTGCATTTTGAATTAATGAATTTATAAATATCATTGGCCTAATTTCATTATAAAAGCTACAATGGTGGGAGTAAAGGTTATAATGCCACCTAGTATATTAATATGGAAATATGCCCAATTGGTTATTCCTACTTACTGCAATTTGTACTATTTTAAAAATGAGTCATTAAGAGAATAATTTTACAGCACCACATCCTACAATTCTATAAAGCTCATTTTACTAAGATGTATTTCTTCCTTCAAGCTCTAGGCTAAAGAAATCTGGGAATTATTCTGACATCTCCCTCACTACTCCCAGGCTTCCACCACCTCTCACAAAAACTGCAGCCTCCTAGTGAGTGTGCCTGTTTCCACTCTTGAACACATCTAATGCCTATTTTTAAATGCAGCCAAAGCCATCTTTCCAAAACAAAATAGGATGTTACCACCCCACTGCCTTTAAAACTATATCTTTCTATTGTTCAGAAGTAACAGACAAACCTCTTTCCCACCCTCCCTCACCTCCCACTACCTCTGGCCCCTTCTGGCCTCTGGGAACATGGGAATTCTTGGAAGTCCTTGGTTACAAGGCATAGTTCCTTGGGCCTGAATGTCCCTTTCTCTACCTAAATGGGCTCTGGAGCGCTCTCTCTACCCTACCAATACTTTGAGTACTGGGACCATGTCAGTTTAAGCTTACTGGCTGATTTCCTGTGCCTTCAAGTTCCCAAATATTTACTGAACAAACAGCTAGTTTATGAAACAGGAGGCCTAGAATTGATCTCTTAACTTTTAACCAAGGCTTCTTTTCTTGGGTTTGTTTCTAATCAGTTGTATGGGAATAAAATCTACACACCATAAAATTCACCCATTTAAACTGAGCAACTTAATCATTTTTAGCACATTTAACCATGGCTTCTTTACACTAACAATTACTATTGTTTTCAAATAAATAAGTTGAATTTTTATAAATTTTAAAGACAGTGACAAGGTTCCTGCAACTAGTGGTGGCATCTGTAGAACTAATTAGAAGTATCTGAAAACTAACGCTGTATTTATAGATGGGGAAATTAGAAAAATTCAAGGAAACCTGACCTAAAAACCACTCTCTGAGCCTAGCCCCTGAAGTTTTCTAGGTACTCTGCCCCACATCTACAAGAACAGTCAGAGCAACATTTCTAATAACTCAATATTGGAAAAGAATCAAATTTTCATCAGTGGTAAAACAGATAAATTATGGTATAGTCATTCAACGAGATGCTATACAGCAATGAAAAAGAATAAACCATTGCTCTATATAACCGTAAGGATTAATTTCAGATATTATGTTAGTGGAAGTCAGGTACAACAGATTATATAATGTATAAATGATATAAAATTCAAAAACAGAAAACTAATCTACAATGAGAGAGTAATAGTGTTCACCCTTGGTGAAAGGGTGTAGACAGTACTACGAAAGGTCATCAGGGTAGCTTTTTCTTTTTTATTGATACACCTGACATATCATGTTATATAAAACAACATCAGCAACAGGTATACAAAATAATGATTCAATATTTGTATATACTGCAAATTGACTGTCAAAACAAGTTTAGTTAATATCTAGCACCATATACTTACAGTTGTTTTTCTTATGATAAGAACTTTAAAGATCTATTAGCAATTTTCAATATACAAGCAGTATTATTAACTATAGTCATCATGCTGCATTATATCCCCATGACTGACTACTTCTCTCTGTTTTTCTTGGATACCATCAGCTGCTTGATGAAAATCAAATACTGAAGGGAAGATAAAAAAAATTACAGTTGTTGTTGAAACAAATATAGGAAAGCAAAACATACTGCATTTTGAATTAATGAATTTATAAATATCATTGGCCTAATTTCATTATAAAAGCTACAATGGTGGGAGTAAAGGTTATAATGCCACCTAGTATATTAATATGGAAATATGCCCAATTGGTTATTCCTACTTACTGCAATTTGTACTATTTTAAAAATGAGTCATTAAGAGAATAATTTTACAGCACCACATCCTACAATTCTATAAAGCTCATTTTACTAAGATGTATTTCTTCCTTCAAGCTCTAGGCTAAAGAAATCTGGGAATTATTCTGACATCTCCCTCACTACTCCCAGGCTTCCACCACCTCTCACAAAAACTGCAGCCTCCTAGTGAGTGTGCCTGTTTCCACTCTTGAACACATCTAATGCCTATTTTTAAATGCAGCCAAAGCCATCTTTCCAAAACAAAATAGGATGTTACCACCCCACTGCCTTTAAAACTATATCTTTCTATTGTTCAGAAGTAACAGACAAACCTCTTTCCCACCCTCCCTCACCTCCCACTACCTCTGGCCCCTTCTGGCCTCTGGGAACATGGGAATTCTTGGAAGTCCTTGGTTACAAGGCATAGTTCCTTGGGCCTGAATGTCCCTTTCTCTACCTAAATGGGCTCTGGAGCGCTCTCTCTACCCTACCAATACTTTGAGTACTGGGACCATGTCAGTTTAAGCTTACTGGCTGATTTCCTGTGCCTTCAAGTTCCCAAATATTTACTGAACAAACAGCTAGTTTATGAAACAGGAGGCCTAGAATTGATCTCTTAACTTTTAACCAAGGCTTCTTTTCTTGGGTTTGTTTCTAATCAGTTGTATGGGAATAAAATCTACACACCATAAAATTCACCCATTTAAACTGAGCAACTTAATCATTTTTAGCACATTTAACCATGGCTTCTTTACACTAACAATTACTATTGTTTTCAAATAAATAAGTTGAATTTTTATAAATTTTAAAGACAGTGACAAGGTTCCTGCAACTAGTGGTGGCATCTGTAGAACTAATTAGAAGTATCTGAAAACTAACGCTGTATTTATAGATGGGGAAATTAGAAAAATTCAAGGAAACCTGACCTAAAAACCACTCTCTGAGCCTAGCCCCTGAAGTTTTCTAGGTACTCTGCCCCACATCTACAAGAACAGTCAGAGCAACATTTCTAATAACTCAATATTGGAAAAGAATCAAATTTTCATCAGTGGTAAAACAGATAAATTATGGTATAGTCATTCAACGAGATGCTATACAGCAATGAAAAAGAATAAACCATTGCTCTATATAACCGTAAGGATTAATTTCAGATATTATGTTAGTGGAAGTCAGGTACAACAGATTATATAATGTATAAATGATATAAAATTCAAAAACAGAAAACTAATCTACAATGAGAGAGTAATAGTGTTCACCCTTGGTGAAAGGGTGTAGACAGTACTACGAAAGGTCATCAGGGTAGCTTTTTCTTTTTTATTGATACACCTGACATATCATGTTATATAAAACAACATCAGCAACAGGTATACAAAATAATGATTCAATATTTGTATATACTGCAAATTGACTGTCAAAACAAGTTTAGTTAATATCTAGCACCATATACTTACAGTTGTTTTTCTTATGATAAGAACTTTAAAGATCTATTAGCAATTTTCAATATACAAGCAGTATTATTAACTATAGTCATCATGCTGCATTATATCCCCATGACTGACTTACTTTGAAACTGGAAGGACATTTGTACCTTTTGACCAACTTTACCCATTTGCTCATACTCAGTCTCCCACCTCAGCATGGGGATTCAGTCTACTTTTTAAAATTAAAGGTAATTTTGCACCTTCACTATATACATTGTATTAACACCATCTCATGATTTATTTTATTATTATTATGGTTAAAATTTTATTAATATTATCAATGTTATACTGTATCAATGTGTCCAGTGTTAAGTCTCAGGACATGTAATATCCACTTTGCTTGCTTCTCACACTTTTTTTAAAAAATTGTGGCCAATTCACATGAGACCTACCTACCCTCTCACAGATTAAGTCACAATTCATGTTTCTTCTCTTCAAGTCTTTACTTAAATGTCATCTTCCCTGGGAAACCTCTCCAAACACTTCACCTATATAGTTACAGGCCCCCACCCACCTCTTCTAAACTATATGACACTACCTGGCACCTTTCTCTGATTTATTTTTCTCCTCTAAACTGATCACTATATAACCACAGTACATTTATCACATATTTATCTTTTTTATTATCTGTCTTCCCTCCTACACTATAAGCTCCATTAGGGATTTTTATTTGCCTTTTCTACTGCTGAATCCTTAGTGCCCAGCACCAGCCCTGGCATAAAGTAGGCATTCAACAGATGAACAAAGGAGTATTAACCAACAAATTTGGATTTCAAATGTTTAAAAAAATTTTTAAGTCTAAGCCATTTATCAGATCTCTTTCCCTCAATAAGCATCTCTTATGTACAAATTTTGTTTGTATGTATTATGAGATTCAAGGCATGATTATAATGCAAAATAGTTACATAAGTACCAATATTAGGAACTAGCCAACAAATCAACTCATTTTTTAATTTCTTTAAAAGAAAACTGGTTGTTAAAAGCAAAAATATTAACAATGTACTGAGGAGTTTGCAACAATGTAAACATGAAATGTATGACAAAAATAACACAAAGGACTGGACAAAGGATATGGAAACATTTTATTTTAAGGACCTTAGGTTAAATGTTTTATTATTTTAAGGGAGATGATGATAATTTAAAGATGTGTATTATAAATCCTAGAGCCAACTATAAAAGTTCATAAAACAAGATATATAACTAATAAGCTAATAGTGGAGGTAATATTTAAAATATTAAATCTAAAATAAATGGAAAAAATACAATAACAGATGGAACAAATGGAAAGCAAAGAGCAGATATAAATTCAACCATACTGATAACTGTACATCTAAACACTCCAATTAAAAGGCACACTGTCACAGTGAATAACAAGCAAGACCCAACTATATTTTCTCTACAATAAATGTGCCATAAATATAAAGATACAGATAATTTAAATATTAGAGGATAGCAAAAGAACACCATGAAAACACTAATCTTAAGAA